CTGAATGACTATTTGATAAGTGCCTGGCTCTTCTATAGTAAGGAGATTCAGGGAGGACACTATAGTCACTGCTGTGACATTCTCACTGTCAAAGGTTCACAAGGTCCTTTAAAAGTCAACAGATGGGCCACTCACTTCTCAAGACAACAGACTGTATGGTTGACTCAGGGAAGAACCCTGTATTAGTTATCTGTTTTTGTGTAACAAATGACCCTAAAATCTATCACCTTAAAAAACAACATTTATTACCTCACAGTTTCTCTAGGTGAGAAATTTGGGAGCTATTTAGCTGGGTGGTTCTGGAGCAGGGTCTTCCATTAGGTTAGAGTCAAGACGTTAGTTGGGGCTGCAGTCAGCTGAAGGCTGGAGTGGGGCCGGAGGACTTGCTTCATAGGTGGCTCACTTACTTGGCTTATGGGAGGAGGACTCATCTCTTCATTGGCCATTGGTACTAGTCATCAAAAAGCTGGAGAGGAGACTTCCCTGGCGGTCCAGTGGTTAAGATCCCTAAGGAAAACCACTTAGGAAATTCTGCTAAGGTCCTTGCGGACCTATTGAAGTATCCTGAGGAGAAGTGCATGAAGCACAGCTTTGCCTTTTAGAAATAATCACTGAGGCAGAAGTAGGGAGGATGAACTGGAGGGAGGAAAGGACAGATTTGGAGAAGAGTGATAAGACTATCCTCACATGAACATGAATGTGATATTATTGATCTAAAGAATTTAAAAAATGTATAACTGTATCCAGAGTGTACAGAGTTTAAACATGGTTTAATAAAAATCTAAATAAGAGTATATCTAAAATTTTTAATTGATTTTCATATTTAAAAATTTTAAGATAAAGTCAAAATTACCTAATAAATAAAGCCAAAAACTATGCTTGCTGCTGCTGCTGCTGAGTCACTTCAGTCGTGTCCGACTCTGTGCGACCCCACAGACGGCAGCCCACCAGGCTCTTCTGTCCCTGGGATTCTCCAGGCAAGAATACTGGAGTGGGTTGCCAGTTCCTTCTCCAATAATGATGCTTAATAAATATCAAATTTTGAAATAAAAAATTTAAAAATACAAATAGTTCTAAAATTTATATGGAAACACAAAAGACCCCAAATAACCAAAATGATTTTGAGAGAAATGAACAGGGCTGGAGGAATCACCCTCCCTTACTCTAGACTACACTACAAAGTTAATTAACACAGCCTGGTACTGGCACAAAAACTGACAGACAGCCCAATGCAATAGAATAGAGAGCACAGATATAGACCCACATGCCGTGGTCAACTAATCCATGACAATGGAAGCAAGAATATACATCAGAGAAAAGACAATCTCTTCAATAAGTGGTTTTGGGAAAAGTGGACAGCTACATGTATTAATAAAAGAATGAAATTAGAGCATTCTCCCACACCCTATACAAAATTAAATTAAAATGTATTGAAGACCTAAATGTAAGAGCAGAAACCACAGAACTCCTTGAGGAAAATATAGGCAGAACACTCTGACATAATTCATAGCAATTTTTTTTTGTTTCCTAATAAAAGCAAAAATAAACAAATGGGACAAAAATAAACTTAAAAGCTTTTGCATAACAAGTGAAACCACTGACCAAAAAAAGGCAACCTACTGAGTGGGAGAATATATTTGCAAATGATATGACTGACAAAGGGTGCATATCCAAAATATATAAACAACTCATACAAGTCAACATAAAAAAAAACTGATTAAAAAATGGGCAGAATAACTGAACAGAAATTTTTTCAAAGAGGAAACGCAGATGGTCAGCAGGCACATGAAAAGATGCTCAACACTGCTAATCATCAGAGAAATGCAAATCAAAACCTATCAATGAGATATCACCTTACACCTGTCAAAACAGCTATCATCAAAAAGAATACAAATAGCAAATGTTGGCTAGGATGTGAAGAAAACAGAACCCTTGTACATTGTTGGTAGGAATGTAAATTGATGCAGCCACTGTGAAAAACACTATGGAATTTTCTCAAAAAAAATTAAGACGAACTACAATATGATTCCACTCCTGCATATATACCTGAAGAAAAACCAAAAAGACAAACTTGAGAAAAATACCTGTTCACAGACCCCAATGTTCACAGAAGCATTATCTACAATTGCCAAAATACTGAAGCAACCCAAGTGCTCATCAGCAGATGAATGGATAAAGAAGATGTGGTACACTGGAATACTACTCAGCCACAAACAGGAATGTAACTTTGCATTTGCAGCAACATGGATGGACTTGGAGGATATTACGCTAAGTGAAATAAGTCAACAAGAAATACTGTATGATACCATTTATATGTGGTATCTAAAAAATAAAACAAACTAGTGATTATAACAAAAAAGAAACAGGCTCAAGTACAGATGTAAGAGTTGGACCGTAAAGAAAGCTGAGTGCTGAAGAATTGATGCTTTTGAATTGTAATGCTGGAGGACTCTTGAGAGTCCCTTGGGTTGCAAGGAGATCAAACCAGTCAATACTAAAGGAAATCGACCCTGAATATTCATTGGAAGGACTGATGGGCTAAAGCTGAAGCTCCCATACTTTGCCCACCTGATGCAAAAAGCTGACCCAGTGGCAAAGACCCTGATGTTGGGAAAGATTGAAGGCAAAAGGAGAGGGGGACGGCAGAGGATGAGATGGTTAGATAGCATCACTGACTCAATGAACATGAATTTGAGCAAAGTCTGGGAGACAGTGGAGGACAGGGAAGCCACAACGAATTGGACAAGACTTAGTGAATGAACAACAACAAATAAAACACAAACTAGTGGTTACCTGTAGGGAGAGAGAAGGATAAAGAGGCAATATAAGGGCAAGGGATTAAGAGTATGAACTATTATGTATAAAATAAGCTACAAGGATATATTGTAGAACACAGAGAATATAACCAATATTTTATAAAAAGCTATAAGTGGAGTGCTGTTGCTGTTGTTCAGTTGCTCAGTAGTGTCCGACTCTTTGCAACTCCATGGACTGCAGCATGCCAGGCTTCCCTGTCCTTCACTATTTCTTGGAGTTTGCTCAAACTCACATCCATTGAGTCGATGATGCCATCCAACCAGCTCATCCTCTCTCACTCCCTTAAAAACTGTGAATCACTATCTTGTATACCTGGAAATAATACACTATTGTATATCAACTATACTTCAATTAAAAATATAAAATTACCTGTTAAAATAAAGCCAAATAAAAATTATTATTAATAAATATCAAAACTTGTACTAAATGAAGTATCATCTAGCAGGTGCCCAATATTTAAGTTTCATGTCAGGTTAACAAACTTAAATATATTCTCTGTGTATAAAACAGTTATACTACAAAGACCTACTGTATAGCCCAGGGAACTATATTCAGTATCTTGTAAAAATCAGTAGTAGAAAAGACTCTGAAAAATATATATATATGTATAACTGAATCACTTTGCTATACACTTGAAACTAACACAACATTGTAAATTAATTATACTTCAATGAAAGTACATATACTATCCAAAAAAATCAATCTTGAAATAAAAGTTTTAAGAATACAAATTGTTTAACATTCTGTACCTGCTCTGCTTATGCTAAGTTGTGTGTACTTCTCTAGAAACACAAGCTCAAAGAGGAGAAGTAATATGAACTTTTCACAGTTCTGGGAAAGGTGACTTCAGTCTGTTGAGCCTGTGTACTCTTGTACACTCCTGGGCCCGGGTCCTCTTTGCCCATGATCCCTTTCATTCCCTGGAAGACTTGATTTCCAGGCATCTTCCTCGCCTCCTCCACTCTGGACTAAGGTGTGTACGGTTGGTTTCAGGAGATACCCTCAAAACCATCCTCCAAAGTCAGTACCAATTCACCTTCCCCTCAGCTGTGTGGGAGTGTCCCTGAGCATCTCCTAGCATTTTCCATCATTTCCATTTTAAGCATTCTGGTGGGTGTGTGTAATGCTATTTCTAAAATTAACACATTCCTTATCCTTCTATTCTCTCTGCGGAAACAGAATCCAGCTTTTTCAGCCAACCTGCCCGAGGGAGGGAAGAAGCCACTTCCAGAGGGTCCATCATCTGGGGCCTCACCACGGGTCAGGTCAGCTGAGGCAGGGCCAAGCAGAGCGAAGCCGGGACACCTGGATGCTCCTCTCCACTCCCCAGCACAGTGTCGCTTTCCAGCCTTTCTCATGTCTTTACCTCTTACCTTTCCTCATCTTTGCTGATTCAAATCTTGTTCACCCAGCAAAGGATGGGCAGCACTGATCTTCTCCAAATAAGTCCATCATTCCTCTTCTCCCTTTCTTCAGCTTTTGTCTTGACATTGGGAAGGGATGGATGGGTGAAGATGAACAGATCATTCACTTCTCTTGACCTGTTTCCTTATCTGAGAATCATCTGAGCTTGGGCAACACTAAGTTTAAGTCTCTATCTGTTTTGACGTCTACCCAGGTAGCTCAGTGGTAAAGAATCCGCCTGCCAATGCAGGAGACTCGGATTCCATGCCTGGGTGGGGAAGATCTCCTGGAGGAGGAAAAGGCAACCCACTCAAGTATTCCTGCCTGAATAATCCCATGGGCCGAGGAGACTGGTGGGCTACAGTCCATGGGGTCGCAGAGTCGGACGTGACCCTTTAAGAACCAGGGGGCGAAAGAAGGAAACAGAAGTGTGTACTCCCGTGGGTCGGCCAGAGCGTCAGTGCCCCTGTACAAGCCTGTGCTCTGAAGGTCCTCGTGAGTTTCAGTCCGCGTGTCTCGGACGGGGCTGAGATGTCCACTTAAATGTCCACTAACGCATTGTGCAAATCTGTTCACCGGGGGTCTACCTGGGACCCCACAGCCCTCTTGTGCGCCGAAGGCGGCTCGAGCCCTTTCGGGGCTCTGAATGATTCCGGGTCCTTCCGGGGTTTTGTGTCGAATCGGCCGGTGGCGACCCGGCGCCGCGTCGCGGGGTGGGGAGTGTGCGGCTGCGCGCGCCGCGGCGTTTACGCGGCGATTTCATCATGCTCCCGGCCCGGCCGCGCGCGCCGCTTCCGCCGCCGCCCCCTCCCGACCTCCCAGCGCCGCCGGCTCATGCCCTCTCTGCGTCCGGCGCTGCTTAGAGCTGCCCGCGCCGCTCTGCTGCTGTCGCCGCCACCCGGTTTCCCGGCCCGGCCTCCGCTCCTGCCCTGCCGGCCCATCAGCAAGCCCGCCGGCGCCACGACCTCTTTCCCCGCCGCCGCCTCCCGGAGCAGCATGGACGGCGCCGGGGCTGAGGAGGTGCTGGCACCTCTCAGACTAGCCGTGCGCCAGCAGGTACCGGCATTCTGCGCTTTGCAGTCAGCCCCGGCTCTCCTCCCCCTGGTCCCCTCCTTCTCATCTTCTCTCTCTCTTTTTCCCGGGCACCGGTCCACCTCATCGATTACCCGTCTCTTTCATTCTCTGGAAGCCCTTGGTTTCCAGGCATCTTCCTCGCCTCCTTCACTTTGGACTCAGGTCCCCGCGTGCGCCGGCCACCTTCCCTCCCGTGGATCCCTCTCCTTGGGTGACTCCCGCGGATCCCTCGACATCCTGCGTCCCTTCTCTCGCGATCTGTTCTCCTTTCCCAGTCCTTGTTACTGCTGTGCCTCTTCCCTCTCCGATGACGCTGGGATCTGTAACCCTTAGCTTCTCCACCCTGTCCTAGCTCAATAACCTCAATTTTAGATTTCCTGCCCCTGCTATGTTCTTTGTGCTTCCTGGGTGGCGAGATTCCTAATTCCTCGCTGGTCAGTTACGAGCCGAAGAAGATGCGGGTTCTCTCTTCTTACCGCCTGACTCTCTTTTTTTTAGTCTTCAAGATGCTTTAAATATTGTTTTCTCCTTGACATCTTCATTCGGTGCTTAGTTAGCCGAATGGTCCGCTGAGAAAGCAAAATAGTTGAAACCTGGATAAGGGGAGGTTTTGAACTTTGTTTCTCTCTTTTAATAATATGAGTTCATCCTTCGCTCCTGTCATTTTCTGGGTTCCGAAAAGACCACTTGAAACGAGTGAGCTTTCAGATCGTAAACGTGGGAAGCTGTAAATGTTCCCGAGTTAATCGGTGAAGGCAGCTATCCTTCGTATGGAACATTTTGAAATTTGATTTTGCGGAAGGGAGGGAGGTTTCATGGGCTGGAGAGCTTGGTGGTTTAATCCAGGCCTCCTTTTCCTAGGGCACTGCATGGACATCAGAATTTAGAGAGGACAGGGTATTTTCACATCCAGTCAGGTAGAACCAGAAGCTCGGAATAGAACCCCAAGAGTAGATGACCTAGTAGGAAGCACCCAACGGGTTTCTCCAGCACCGGCGCCTGATGCAATAACTTGCCTTGGCTACAGAGGGTGGATCCCTCTTTCAGAAATAATTCATTGGGGCAGCGCTGCAGAAAATTCGGCAAATTCTTCCACTGTATCTACTTTTCTCTAGTTTAAGCCTGATTGATTCTATACTGTTTAATTTTGAAGTTTTACTGTGGGCTTCATTTATTCTTTTTTCTTTGTATCAGAGCTTTATGAATGCTTATTCTCCATCTTCCTCCACACACCCTTCTTAAATAAAATTAAGTGTGATTCCTTTGTCTTTTCTCTCTCAACTTTTTTCCCCCCTTTCTTCATATCCTTCACTTTAGAAGGGAGAATACATCTAATTTGGAAAAACGCACACCCAAACCCCTCCCTCTGCCACGTTAGCCTGGAACTGCAGTGCACATTATCCATCTGTAGTAAGACTTTGGAACTAGTTAACTGAAGTAAACTTTGATGGGGGAATAGCCTTCCGCTATTATTACTGTCTTGTGTATTGTCTATGTTGGCTTGATTGCTAGATATTTGGTACTTCAAGCTATTTTCCAAATATGTAAGTTAGTCTATGTAAGTCAGTTTGTGTTTTCTTTTCCTAATTTTTCAGGACCACACATAAATCAGTTAACTACCTGGGACTTTGAATTGCACTGATTTCAGGGTCAACTGGAAGGGAATTTAAAGATAATCTGGTTAACCCTTGTTTGTTTTTTTTTTTAATGTTTTTGAAGAAATGACATACAATTTCCACTGCAAAGTTTGTGCAATTGAAGGCATCCTTGGAGTGGGATTTGTAAGATGCTTAATAACGGGTTTCGTTAGTGGCATGTGTTTCAAATAAATAGCTAGTTCATATAAATTTGCCAATCTGCTATGCCATGTGAATGCTGCTGTTTTTTACAGATTTGGTTTGTTGATTGGCTGAAATGTATTTCACCATGGCATATTCTTAGTTATTTCCTGAAGAATTTAGTTTTGGAGCTTATAAAAGGGCCTCACAGCATCTAGAAGACTGTTAATTGTTTGATGAAGGACACCCTAGGGCATTGAGCTAAAAAAAAATTGGGAATTAGCATACAGTGGCCAGACTTTATTTTGCCAGATTTGTTGTTTAGTTGCTAAGTCGTGTCATACTCTTTTGTGACCCCATGAACTGTAGCCCACCAGGCTCCTCTGTCCATAGGATTTCCCAGGCCAGAATACTGGAGTATTTTGAAATACTGGAAATGGTTGCCATTTCCTTCTCCAGGAGATCTTCCTGACCCAGGGATCAAACTCGGGTCTCCTGCATTGCAGGCAGATTCTTTACCATAGAGCTACCAGGGAAGCCCCATTTTGCCAAATAAAGGCATTAAAAAAAAAAAAGCAGTGCAATCAAGAAACTACCATCTGGTTTCCCCTTTTATTTCATAACAGAAAATATATTTTAATACCTAAGATAGGACAGGCCATAACTCAGAATAAAGAACAGTCTTTTATATTTGAAAAATGTTCTGATACCACCCCACCACCACAATCACCACCATGCTGATGAACATATCCTGGAGTGTCTTGTTTGGGAAGTGGCTCTAGGGCAGCGGTTCTCAAGGTATGGTCTGCAAACCCTTGGAGGTCTCCAGGGTCAAAACCATTTTCATGATAAAACTAAGATGTTATTGGCATCTTTCACTCTGTGGACATTTGCAGTGATGGTGCGAAGCGTGGTGAGTAAAACTGCTGGCCTGCAGCACTTACCAAGTAAGGGACACTAAGCCTTCATATTCTCTACCACAGTCTCACACTGAAAACAAACCAAAAAATCCTCTCTCAGTTTTGCTTTAGAGTGTCCTTGAAAAAGCAGTAAGAATTACTAATTTTGTTAAATTCAGACCTCTGTGTACACATCTTTTTAATATTGTGTGACAAAAGAGGAAGTATGCATAAAGCATACTCATGTATGTTGATTGAGGAAAAGCACTTATGATTGAGTTGCAAGAATGAAGCATACTAAAATGCCTGACAGACAGTGTTATTCAGTCTTGGGTTTTGGGCATTCGTTCATTTTCTGTAAAATGAGTGAAGTAAGATTGTCACTTCAAAAAAGCAACTGATAGTATTTGTGGCCAATAAAGTCAGTCTTGGGATATGTTAGAGCCCTGGATTTTTCTTTGCTTTGATTTTCTGAACTAAGAGTGCCCATTAAAGCTCTTGCTTAATCCACAAAGGACAAATGATACATTTATGAAGTTTTTGTCAATAGTTGTAAAACACTTGGGAATCTGAAATTAGTTTATTAATCTTAACAAGAACCCTCTAGGTCCATAAGTATAAAGTTAAACATCGTTAAATAATGTTTTCTTGTTTTTCTTGGCTGACTGAATATGCACCATGATATGTAATATGTATGAAGGATGAATGAAAAAGGTCTGTTGGAATGATTTCTCATCTGTAATGATTTCATTTTATAAACATAGACTTTTAGTTCTAATCTGTGTCTTTATGGTAAGAATTTATGCAGAAATTAAGCTTCTAGTTGATGTATCTTAAAGGTAGTTTAGAAATATTGATATTTCACATTGATCTCATTCAACACACACACACACACACACACACACACACACACACAGTAGTCAGTGGTGAAGAAAGAGGAGAGAAAATAATTAGAAATTAGGAATCCATAAGTACTTTCTTTCCATGTTTAGATCAACTCCAACTTTTGTTTTCAGAATTAGATCATTATAAATCATGGTTTTAATTATTCCATTATTCAGAATAAACTTGATTATTTTCTTTTTTAAAAAATTTATTTCTAATTGAAGGATAAATTGCTTCACAGAATTGCTGTACAAAAAATTGATTCACAGAAAATTTCTTTACAGAATTTTGTTGTTTTCTGTCAAACCTCAACATGAATCAGCCATAAGTATACATATATCCCCTCCCTTTTGAACCTCCCTCCCATCTCTCTCCTCATCCCACCCCTGTAGGTCAATTATGTTCTTAATTGAGATTTTCAGAGATGATTAACTCAGTGGAGGATTCCTGACTCTCCCACTGCTTCTGTTGATAGTGAGCCTCTCCTTAAATGTATGTATGTGTGCCTCATTCTATGCCTGAACTTTAAAAAACAGGCAAAAATGATTCAGGAAAATGAATTTTAAGTTCTTAACCTTTACCAACTTGTGGCCTTGCTTGCCCAGTGTCCTTTGAAAAGCTCCAAAAGAAAAGATGGGAGTGCCAGTACTTGACACACAAAGGTAGGTATTCAAAAGAACTGCTTGCCACCTTCTTTTCAGAACACAGACTCTCATAGGTTCTTATCCCGATCAAAAGGCACTGTTAGTGAACCTTTAAGAGGCAAGTGTTCTGACAGGTAGAGTAAGGGAAAAGAAGCTCTGAATGTGTAAAGACTAAGCCACTAGGTATTTACCAAGTATTAAGTGCTTGGGATTGTGCTAGGTTTAGGTTGTGATATCAGGCAAGAAATATTTGAGTGCCAGAATTGACATTCTAGGGTTCCTGTCTTAAAAGAACCTGCTGTATAATGACAGGGACAGATGAAATGTATGTAAATAAATAAGCCAATCCATTGATGGGGTGATTTCAGGTATTGTGTGTGTAATAAAGAAGTTAAAATTAGAAGGTGACTGAGGATGTTGCTTTAGCTAGAGAGGTCAAGATACTAAAAGCTGTTAGTATAATAACAGACCAGACCTATTTGTATTTAATAAGAGAATGAAAAGAAGAACCAACTCAGTGACTCTCTAAACGATTTCAGACTCAGTGTCCCCTTTTATACCACATATTTTGAAATTCATTACTATCCTGTAATGAAGTTCATGTCTCAGAAATATCATATTTCATAAGAAAAATATATGTACACATAGTGCTCTAAATACAAATAAAAAGTAATTTATAATAAATACTATGTATTTCAGTATGTAAGTTTGGCGGTATGACTCCACTGGAAGTTATACTGAAGTAAGCAGATGCTGCTGCTGCTGCTAAGTCACTTCAGTCGTGTCCGACTCTGCGACCCCATAGACGGCAGCCCACCAGGCTCCCCCGTCCCTGGGATTCTCCAGACAAGAACACTGGAGTGGGTTGCCATTTCCTTCCCCAATGCATGAAAAGTGAAAAATGAAAGTGAAGTTGCTCAGTTGTGCCTGACTCTCAGCAACCCCATGGACTGCAGCCTACCAGGCTCCTCCGTTCATGGGATTCTCCAGGCAAGAGTACTAGACTGGCGTGCCATTGCCTTCTCCGAAGCAGATGCTTATACCCCTCTACAGATTTACTGTGAAAACAGTTGCTATTCATGAACATTGATAAAGATATATTGCATTGTTTACTCAGGGCAGCAGCATAGCCAGTAGTCACATGTCTTCTTTGTTTTTTGTTTCAGCCAATAGCAACTTTCTAAAATTCCGAACAAAGCAAGGTATAGTCTTCCTTTTTTATTTTTTCAGTTGAGGTATAGTTTATTTGGGGACTTCCCAGGTGGCGCAGTGGTAAACAATCTGCCTGCCAGTGCAGAAGATGCAAGAGACACAGGTTTGATCCCTGGGTGGGGAAGATCCCCTGGAGGAGGGCATGGCAACCCACTCCAGTATTCTTGCCTGGAAAGTTCCATGGACACAGAGCATGGTGGGCTACGGCCCATGGAGTTGCAAAGAGTATCATATAACAGCAACTGAGGACCCATGCATAGTTGATTTTAGTCTTCCTTTAAATTACATTTTCTTGGGCGCATCCCTGGAAAATTCAATGTATGTTAAAACTGGGGAAATACTTCTCTTTATAAGCAGAGTTAGGTTCTTAGTTCAGATAATTTTAAATAGCTTTTTTGCCTCCTAACTGGGACATTCTGAAATAGCATGAATTCAGGAGAGGGGGTTCTGTTCACTGAATGAGGAAAGTAGGCAGGAGCTTGGAAAAATAGCCACAATGGGGAAAGGATGATGGTAGGCCCCTTAAAGGAGTTGGGGTTTTAGAAAGAGAAAGAAGGAATCAGTTTGAAAGTACAGAGGGGAATAAGGAGAATATGTATCCCATTTCCATTCTCTTTTCTGTGTTTGATTATCTTTATTTGCAACTTTGTCTTTCTGTTCCATTCCATGGAATGAAAATTATCCAGGGGTAATTTCTTTGCAAAGTCACTAATTCTCTCTTCAGCTGTCTGATCTGCTGTTTAAACTGTCCAGTGAGTTTTAAATTTCAGTGATTTATTTCCTAATGTTCTATGTGGTTTTTTTTTCAAGTCCCCTGATTGTTTTTGATAGTCTCTTATTCTTTGCTCATGTTTTTGATTCCTCTTTTTATTTTACTTTAAACATCTTGAGCATTAAAAAAGTATGTTTGATCATTCTAATACTTTTAAAGGATCTAATTTTGTTATTTGTTGTTTCTGCCAAGTCTCACTCATGGTGGTTTTCTTCCTTGTGGATTTTAAAAATTTTGAGCTGAGTGCTTATTATTTTGGTAATCTTAAACAAAGTCTTGAAAGGCCTATGGAAGGTCTACTTTAGAGAGCAGTTGCTTCTGTTGTGCCCCCCAGGGCTCTGTTAATTTGATACCTTTTAATTTCTCATCTTGAAATTTCCCAGACCATGTGGTAATGTTTTGTTTGTTCTCTCAGATTACTTATTCTACCACATTACTGTAAGAAAATCAGTGTATGGGTGGTAGGTTGTTGGAAGTGAATAAAGTAATCTAAAGAAATTAGCAAGGAAAAAAATGTAACAGTAGAGGGCAGAGGAAGGTAAGTGAGAACAAATGGGCAGAGAAGCAAGCAGAAAACTGAAACAGTCTATTTTTTTTTTTTTTGTACACAAGAAAAAAGAGAGATTCAAGGAGATGGTGATCAATTCATTGGTTCTTCTGAGTTCTCAGTGCTTCTCTTGCTCTTTACTTTTTTTTTTGGCTGTGCTGGATCTCTGTTGCAGGGAGCAGGTTTTCTCTAGTTGCAGAGTGCGTGCTGCCTAATTGTAGCACGTGGTCTTAGTTGCCCTGTGGCATGTGGGATCTTAGTTCCCCGACCAGGGATCAAACCCCCATCTCCCTGAATTGCAGATTATTACCCAGTAGACCACCAGGGTTTTTACTTTTTGATCAGTGCTTTTCTCGCCTCTGTGCATCTCCTCCCCATAAACAGACCAGTAATAATCACTCTGCAAGCTTAGTTATTTTATGTACCTGTCTATATATATAGATTATACATGCTGAGGGCAGAGACCTGCAGTATTCATAATGACCTTTCACATAATAAACCTTTGAATTTCCTCATTCTCACACAGATACTGCTTAAAAGACATGCTGAAAAGCACATTTCTAACTTTACTTCTGAAACCAATCATGACTACAGATTCTCTTTGTTGGCTAGGGAGATCTTGTACGAAAACTCAAAGAAGATAAAGCACCCCAAGTAGATGTAGAAAAGGCAGTAGCTGAGCTCAAAGCCCGGAAGAGGATTCTGGAAGCAAAGGTGAGTCTTGGATCCTTGGAAAGGAACATAAGTAGGTATAGAATTGCTCATCTTTACTTAGTCTCTGTGGGTGGGAGAGACCTAGAAAAAAATCTAAAAGTTGCTCTATCTCTCTTTATCCAGAATGCCTTCTCCTCCTTCTCTACTTGGAAGACTCCTTCCTTTCAGTGTGTGATTCAAACTGTCAGCTTTTCTACAAAACGTTCTTCACCCTAACCTACTCCTTCTCCCACCAGACAGAAACCCTAGACTGGTTGTGTTCCATGAATTTCCCTGGAAGGCAATTGTGTTCTTCTTGGTGAATTCTTTCATATTTACAAATAATGGTTATGCTGTTTTAAAATTTTTTCTTTTAAGGAAAAGTTGTATTCATCTGATACCTGCTTGCAAACCTTTCAAATTATCTCACATCACTAAACTGAAGTTGTTTGGAGTTTTTTCTTTTTTTGGCCAAGCTGAGCAGCTTGTGGCATCTTAGTTCCTCAGTCAGGGATTGAACTCAGCCCCAGCAGTGAAAGCGGCCAGTCCTATCCACTGGGAAGCTAGAGAATTCCTCATTTGGAGTTAGTTTTAAGTCACTATTTCACTACAATGATCCTCTAAAAATTTAGATACTGCTTATCAGTATCTACATCTAAGTAAGCCTAGTTTTATAATCTTGGAAATAGTCATACATTTTCCTAAATAGTTAAGTAAAGGTATCTTTTCTGTAACTCAGAGGGAAAAACCCCTAAGGTTTCTATTGTTTTAAGGGTATGAAAATCTTGTCTGATAAATTTTATATTGAATTCTGAAGAATAAAGTAAATTTAGGTGTATAAACTGAAATTCCCACTCACTCCTTCAATCACATATTTTCTCTTAAAAAATCTCTTATAGGAGCTAGCATTACAGCCCAAAGATGATGTTGTAGACAGAGCAAAAATGGAAGATACCCTGAAGAGGAGGTTTTTCTATGATCAAGCTTTTGCTATTTATGGAGGTAGGGGATTAATGAAAGAAAAACGTGTTGTTCATGGCTTTAATATGGTTCTTAAATGAAAAGCACAACTTGCCAATTGATACCTCGTTGTATCAGGTCATGCAAAGCAGAGGATAGATACCTTGCATTTATTTGTTTAGTCATTCATTTGGTATGATATCAGTTCTTATTTCCTTCTACCCTCCTTATTCTTGAAGACGGCTTCTTTTCCATTAGGACTTAATCAGACTCTTCTTAAAATCCCAGTGGAGACTTGGGAGTAGTAGAGGGCCATTTGTAGCACTGGCCAACTGTACTGTGCCGTTCCCCACAAGGGCAGTGGTGAACCCTAGTTCCTATATTATTCATTATGGCAACTGCCAGGTGAAAAATTCTTGTTAGCTATGCAGATAAATTTCTGCATTCCTCTGAACACTACATGAATTAATATAGACAAATATAATTCACTGATATTTTTCATAAGTAATGGAGATTATTGCAGCAGTATTAAACTTTCAATACTTTACCACCAAAACTTGATTTGATTTTTAGTCTGAGCAGATCTCTAAATGTTTTATTTCTTGAGGTTTAAATAGTGGCCCAAATACCAAGACTATATTGGAGAATGGGGTATTGGGCATCATTGTTATTCCACTGATGCAGCAAGTTATTTTCTCATTTCTATGGCAGAAAACTATAATCTGCTTTTTCATTTTGTTTCTTGCATAAGGAAGAACTTCTTTTCAATTTTAGGTTTTTCTAATCCTACTTGAAATTTCAGCCTTCACGTACAGAAAAAGTAAATGGAGTAAGACCTTTTCAGTTTAAACTTCTGTCAGCTAGTAGGAGATAAGACTCTTTAGTATTGGGGGATTTGAAGTGTTGGCTTGAATACATTTTTTGGGAATATGTGAGTCTTTCAAGTTTCTGATGTCTTCTTGCTTTGATTTGTTCAGAGTGATAAGGTAGAGTACGCTTTCCTCTCATTTTGCAGGTGTTAGTGGTCTTTATGATTTTGGCCCAGTTGGATGTGCTTTAAAAAACAATATTATTCAGACCTGGAGGCAGCATTTTATTCAAGAGGAACAGATCCTGGAGATTGATTGTACGATGCTCACCCCTGAGTCAGTTTTAAAGTAAGATTTCTACTTTGAAGGCTGAAATGCTTTAATTTATATACTTAAGTAACTTTTTGATTAAAAAAATTACCCATGTTCATTGTGAAAATCTGAAAAATAAAAACAAAATATATAGTCGTTGCCAACAGATAGCCAGTTTAAAATGTTGTATTTATCCTTTCTTTTTAAGTTTAGGAGTAGCATAGTGTGGTGTTTAGTAGTAGCACAGTGCTTTTTTTCACCTAATATAGGTGAACATTATGTCAATAAGCTTAAAGAGTATTTTTAATGGCAGAATAGTATTCTTTGTTACAGATGTGGCATGATTTACTTAGCTGGTGCATTAGTATAGGTGTTTAAGTTTTAGTTTCTGAGTTTTGATTGCTCTGAACATCCTAATAGATGAATTTTTTTTATATCCTGGTGATTTCTTTAGTATAAATCCACAGACGTTCTGGGCAGAGCTATGTACATATTTTAAATTAAATACTATTATTTGTATTGACGTTTCAATGCAGAAATTTAGATTGTTCCTGCCAACATTGTTGAAAGCAGGTCAGGATTTCTCAGATATGAAACTGAAAGAGGAATTGTTACTCTTTTTCATCATTTCATTTAATATTGCCTGCTGAAGAGCTAATTTTCACTATTTGTGTACTTTAAAATGAAAGTGTTAGTCTCTCAGTCATGTCTGACTCTTTTCAACCCCATGGACTGTAGCCTGCCAGGCCCCTCTGTCCATGAAATTCTGCAGATAAGAATACTGGAGTGCGTAGCCATTCCCTTCTTCATGGGATCTTCCCAGCCCCGTGATCGAACCCAGGTGTCCAGCTTTGCAGGCAGATTCTTTACCATCTGAGTCACCAGCGGAGGCTTTTGTGTACTTTAGGCTGTCTCTCAATAATTTCAGGCAATTAAAATAAGTTGAATTCTTGATGATAGATCTGAAAGATTGGGACAAGCTATTAGACTTGCTCCACTAGTAGGAGCCACATAGCAATAATACCAGTGTCCCTACAGGTTCAGTGGCAGAAAACTCTTTCTTTAAGGTTCAATGTCTATACTGAGTGCTCGCAAATTCTTGGCTAGTCAAATTCCCCATGGTTTGGCTTTTGCTTGGATCACTAATAATAATGGGATAGGCGTGGAGTAACTGATCCTGAAAAGTAGCACAGACCTTGACAGTTTGTGAAAAAGTATAATCTAGTTAATATATTTTTTCCTAAGGGAAGGGAGAACTTGGGGAGCAGGTAGGAATTGATTTAAGGAAGAATTTTCTTTGGCATACATTTTTATCTACTGTGGGATATTCCATAATAGATATGGGAGCTTTCATCTGTCAGATACACAGATGTAAGCTATGGATAAATATGTAGATGGGAGATTGTCTTAAAAGGTAAAATTTATGTGTTAAGCTGTATGAAAATGACTAATTGACTTGGTATTAACTTAGGACTTCTGGCCATGTAGACAAATTTGCTGACTTCATGGTGAAAGATTTAAAAAATGGAGAGTGTTTCCGTGCTGACCATCTATTGAAAGGTATGGCTTTTCATCTCAGGTAAACACCTTTTCAAGTAGGATTGATCAAAGCAAAGGGTTTGGATTAAACTTTTCTCTCAAGTTTTTGGATTTTTTTTCTTGGGACGTAATATACAAAGAATAAAGTGCACAGATCTTAGTATATAGAACAAGTCCCTTATTAAAAAAAAAAGAAATATATATATAGACACACACACACATATATACAGATAATTAGAAATTCTAAGTCACCAAAAGAATCAAGAGAGTATCATGCCTATCTCTGTAAAATCAGCCATAGGATTCACATAAATTAAGACATTATCTTTGGGTTCATTTTTTTCCCTGCCCAGTGTTGAAACTCAAAAGTACATTGTTCTTTTTCCCCATTGATTGAAATTGACATGTACAACACTATTCTTGCAGCTCATTTACAGAAATTGATGTCTGATAAGAAGTGTTCTGCTGAGAAGAAATCAGAGATGGAAAGTGTCTTGGCCCAGGTAAGTACTTGGGAGACGTTATCATGATAACCCAGGTAGGCGCTGTCTTTCTTTTCAGCATTTGATGACTTGAATTCCATGTTGTGCTGACCTGGTCACAATAGTAAAGAAGGAGAGCTTACCTTCTGTCCTTCATATCATCTGTTTTTGTGTTTTTATTTTCTCTGTCAGTGTTTTATGGTTAGCCCTTTATTTCTGTTGAACTAACAAGTCAGTGTAAATCGGAATGAAATTAGTTTTCTCTCCTCGGAAACCAGTTTTCTGAATTTAATAGCAAAAATCAGGACAATGTCTAAGGATGGGTCGTGTTCAGTGTGGAGATTTGGGGCAGACATCTGTGTGAGACTGTCTCATCAGCCACTTGATCTACTTTTGATTGGACTGTCCCTAACTATGTGCTATTCTTAGAACCTGATGGAGCAGGCCCCTGCTTTTCCTGTAGACCTTTAGTCTTGTATTTAAGTTGACAAGTTTTAGGGAAGGCATTGAGATCATCTATTCTGACTTTTAGCCAAATGCAGAAATACCTTCTATATCAGAAGTAGTTCTTACCCTTTTGGCGGGGGGGCACAAACTGCTTTAAAAATTGATGAATACTGCATACCTTTGCCCCAGGAGGATCACATGCCTGTATGTGAATGTTGCTGATTTCTCAGCTCATTTATCCTTTAAAGCAAAGTATTTCTCCAGCACCATGTTTGATCATGAAATCCACCACAGCTCATCTCTTAAATTTTATTTACTTCCTTGGATGAAAAAAAAAACCAACCAATGCTTTTTTTTTTTTCATTCAAGAAGTAAGATTTCCTCTACCTTGTGTATGAATAAGTAAGGCTGAGTGTAGAACTAACACCCCCAAAAGATGTCCTTTTCATTATAGGAGACTGAAATGGAAAGGTAGGAAGTCAAGAGATACCTGGAGTAACAGGCAAATTTGGCCTTGGAGTACAAAATGAAGCAGAGCAAAGGCTAACAGAGTTTTGCCAAGAGAACACACTGGTCATAGCAAACACCCTCTTCCAACAACGTAAGAGAAGACTGTACACAAGGACATCACCAGATGGTCAACACTGAAATCAGACTGATTATATTCTTTGCAGCCAAAGATGGAGGAGCTCTATACAGTCAGCAAAAACAAGACCAGGAGCTGACTGTGGCTCAGATCATGAACTCCTTATTGCCAAATTCAGACTTAAATTGAAGAAAGTAGGGAAAACCACTAGACCATTNCAACAATACGTGAACCATGAACTTCCAGATGTTCAAGCTGGATTTAGAAAAGGCAGAGGAGCCAGAGATAAAATTGCCAACATCCGTTGGATCATCGAAAAAGCAAGAGAGTTCCAGAAAAGCATCTGCTTCTGCTTTATTGACTATGCCAAAGCCTTTGACTGTGTGGACCGCAACAAACTCTGGAAAATTCTTCAAGAGGTGGGACTACCAGACCACCTGAGCTGCCTCCTGAGAAATCTGTATGCAGGTCAAGAAGCACAGTTAGAACTGGACATGGAATAACAGACTGCTTGCAAGTTGGGAAAGGAGTACATGAAGGCTGTGTATTGTCACCCTGCTTATTTAACTTATATGCAGAGTACATCATGCCAAATGCTGGGCTGGATGAAGCGCAAACTGGAATCAGGAGTGCCGAGAGAAATATCAATAACCTCAGACATGCAGTTGACACGATCCTTACAGCAGAAAGCAAAGAAGAACTAAAGGGCCTCTTGATGAAAATGAAAGAGGAGAGTGAAAAAGTTGGCTTAAAACTCAACATTCAGAAAACTAAGATCATGGCATCTGGTGTAATCACTTCATGGCAAATAGATGGGGAAACAATGGAAACAGTGACAGACTTTGTTTTCTCAGGCTCTAAAATCACTGAAGATGGTGACTGCAACCTTGAAATTAAAAGATGCTTGTTCCTTGGAAGAAAAGCTATGATCAACCTAGACATCATGTTAAAAGGCAGAGACATTACTTTGCCAACAAAGGTCCGTCTAGCCAAAGCTATGGTTTTTCCAGTAGTCCTATATAGATGTGAGAGTTGGACTGTAAAGAAAGCTGAGTGCCAAAGAATTGATGCTTTTGAACTGTGGTGTTGGAGAAGACTCTTGAGAATCCCTTGGACTGCAAGGAAATCCACCCAGTCAATCGTAATCGTGAATATTCATTGGAATATTGGAATGTTGGAATCCAGTCGTTAATATCATTGGAAGGACTGATGGTGAAGCTGAAACTCCCCTTTGGCCACCTGATGCGAAGAACTGACTCACTAGAAAAGACCCTGATGCTGGGATAGATTGAAGGTGGGAGGAGAAGGGGATGACAGAGGATGAGATGGCTGGATGGCATCATTGACTTGATAGACATGAGTTTGAGTAAGCTCTGGGAGTTGGTGATTTACAGGGAAGCCTGGCGTGCTGCAGTCCATGAGGTTGCAAAGAGTCGGACACTACTGAGTGACTAAACTGAGGACTTCCTAATACTGCTTTCCTCTGCTGGAAATTACTGGACATTTCTCCACCATTGCCTTGATTTTTTTAAACCTGCTAATTTTCCTCTGCAGTGTCTGGCTTTCCCAACATTAGCTGAGAAATTTTCTCCTTCGTTATTTAAATTGAAAGACTTCTTAATCTGGCTGTTGGCTCATCTGCCAGTTTATTTTGGGCCACATGAAGTATATTTTATTCCTTTTTTGAAACTCATTTCTTCCACATTGTTGCTTATGGTTTAGAAAATGAATTCTTGTACTTTGATACTGTTACAGCCACACCCTCATTTCTCATTTCCTTCCTTTTCTAAAGACATGACCCTTACTAGAAAGAAGACATGAAAAGCACCTCAGATTACACCTAAATTATTCTCTTTTGAATTCATAATTTTAGATTTATTAGGGATTTTGTATGTATGTGTCTTTGATCTTAACAGCTTCATTCATTTCCAAATAAATTGTTAGAAACAGGAAGTTGTTTTGTTGAGTCATAATTTATAGTTTTGAGCACTGACTTTCTGTTTCATCAGGTACATGTTCCAGGAGAACAGTTTGGATTTTGATTTTGATTGCCATGTCATACACATATGTGATATCTCTCTCTCTCTCTCTCTCTCTCTCTCTCACACACACACACACACACACACACAGACACAGTCGACCCTTGAACAACATGGTTTGAACTGTGTGAGTCCACTTATACTCTGATGTGTTTCAGTAGTAAATTCTACAGTACTCCACAGTTTTTAAGTGGTTGAATCTGCAGATACAGAATAACTGTGGATAAACAGGGCTGGCTATAAATTACATGTGTTGTTCAAGGGTCAGTTCTGTATTCTTGTCAATTTAATCTTCAGTGAAGTGTTAGAAACCCATGGAAGTGGCCTGATACTGAAATGGCCCCAAAGGATTTCCTGGGCCTGGTGTTCCAGCATATAATAGCATTTTCTGCATCTGTTAATGCTTGTGATTCCTTCTCAGCTTTATGAAGCGTGATATTAATAGTTTATCTAAAAGTCATTTATTCACCCTCTGTGGCCAAGAAACGAGGTAGATTCTGTTAACCCCATTTTACAGATAAGCAAACAGGCTCAGAGGGGTTAGGTAGGAACTTGATCCTGAATCACACAACCCATAAGTATTGGAGTTGGGCAATTTACTCAGGATTTTCTGATCCCGAATGGCCATAAATCATTAGTTGATTTATCTAATTATTTTTATTAGATGTTTTTTAAGTTTTAAATATTCATTACTATTAGATGGTTTGTTATAGTCATTCGAGATTTTTGAATTGGAGATCATATATCATTTTAGAGGGTTTGGCATTGATCATCAATGTATAGGATGTGCAGTGCATTGAAAATGCAGAAGTGAATAATACACAGCTTCTGCCTTCAAGCTTCTCCCATAATATCTAATGGGAGAGGAAAGTTACATGCACATTTAATTAATAGACAGGGCAGTGCACCTGACTCTTAAGTATACAGAGTAGTAAAATTCATTGTGTAAGCTTATTTGCATGATTCTTGTCAACCAATAACTATTATAATTGAACAAGAGATATTTTGCCTTTCATTGTGAAATGGTACGCATGTAAATTTAGTGTCTTTGTTCTACAAAGACACTCCATTTCTCTGTTGGTGAATGTAAACTATGTAAATTGGGTATGGTTTTAATATAGATATCTTGAAGATTAGGTTAATCTGATATTTTTATTTTGGCTGAATTTTAATGGTGGGTGGGGTTTTATATATAATATTTTATTGTTATGCCTTGTTTTTTCTCAGTCTTTTACAGTAATCATTTTCTTGATGTATTCTTTAGCTTGAGAACTATGGACAGCAAGAACTTGCAGATCTTTTTGTAAACTACAATGTAAAATCTCCCACCACTGGAAATGATCTCTCCCCTCCAGTGCCTTTTAACTTAATGTTTAAGACCTTCATTGGACCTGGAGGAAACATGCCTGGGTATGTGTCACTTATTGTTTATGTAATATTATTACCAATTATTTGTAATAAAAGGTAAATATTAATATCAACCATGAAGGAAAATGTTTGAAAAATGGTTTGTAGGAAGTGCGGACAAGTATATTAAGGAGAAATAATGATAGATATATTCTAAAATTTTATTTCTTCTAATTCTTTCTGAGTATAATTATTTTTTAGTATATATTGTCATTTTGGGGAGGGCATAAATACAGAAGTCTGTAATCATCAGTTCTTATAGTTATTACTGCATAGGGCAGGAGAGAGAGTTGAAGAATGAGTTATAAGAATATTGAACTTACTGTTGAGGGAGACTTTGGAAACCATTTAGTGTATATCACACTGCCCAGTGGAACTTTCTGCAGTGGTGGAGATATTCTATAAGCTGTTGCTGTCCAATGTGGTAGCCACTAGCAACTACCATGTGGGGGTTGAGCATTTGAAATGGGGCTGGTGCTTCTGGGGAACTGAATTTCTAAACTTATTTATTTATTTTTTGACCATGCCACATGGCATGTGGGATCTTGGTTCCCTGACCAGCGATGAAACCTGTAGCCGCTGTGGGGGAAACAGTCTTAATCACTAGACATGTGGCTTACCCTGTTGGACAGGATACATTTAGCTTATTGATTCATGAAAAGGTGGTTTTTGCAGATAGAGTAGAAAACCTGTAACAGTTTGCAGTATGATCCAGAATTTATATGTCCAGATTCTTTGTTCATTGTTAGCAAACTTAGTCAAAGTATTCCATTTCATAGCCTCAGATATTTTTCTCATGGTCTCATTTTAGGGTAAGACAGGATAGGTTTTGCTAGATAAAGCTGGGTCATGTTTCCTGGAGTAGAGAGTAAAGAATAACAAAAAATGAATTGTGACAATGTATTATTAGAATTATTTTAGTAAGACAGTGGGCTGATTTAGGATATTTTGTGGAAAGAGGCAAAGGATGAGCCTTTCATTTTGTTAATACACAGAGTCATAAAATGGGCCATGACCTCTGACCTGCCTTCCCACTGCTGTGAATTTATCTAAGGAGAGAATTCAAAAGGAAAGGAAGGTATACTTAGCAAGAGTGTATTAATTAATGATAGAAGATAGTGGAACAAAACAGCAAAAATGTTGTTCAGTAAAATTCTTGGTGGAAAAAAGTCAGCTAGTTTTAATATGTCCTTAACTATTCCTACTTTAAAAGAGGATTTTAAAAGATACTTCAAGATAATCTGTGCTCTGAAAGTGGTGTGTAACATCTAATTCTTGCTGTATGTCTTTAAGCAATGACGTAATGGGATTTTATTTTGGATGTGAAAATAAATGTGACTACTTTGCCAAAAAAAAAAAAAGTATATAAATTGAAAGTAAAAATAACCTATTCATCCAGTAACTTGAGGACTGCTAAATAAATTATAGTAGTTTATTTTAGTAGAATTCTCTGCAACTGTTAAATAAGAAAATTTTACTTTTTTATAAAATGGAAAAGCATAAAAGAAAATTCATATTTTAGTACATTCTACTTAATAAATATGCATAGTAACTGTAACTATGCTTATATTTGGATAAAAACAAAAAAATAAAAAGAATTGGTATATTAGAGTGAGAAGAAGGTAAAATTTTATTTTTTGTTTTAAAAATGTTTTTTCATAAAACGTTTCTTTTGAAGTAGGTTCTTGAGAGTGCTTTCTTATGTGATATTTTGTACAGAATATTTTCTGCGAAATTGAAAGAGAACAGTGGCTGTAATGGTATATTTGAGTGACTGTGTCTTTTAAAAATGTGGAGACAATCAGAAGCAGCCTTGGGCTGAAAATACAAAATACCACAAAGATTTGATCATTCTGGATTTCCCTATTTCTTTGTGTCTCTGGGTACAAAGAAGAAATTGATATGAAATTGCCTGCTGTGGTATAATGGTTTTGTTGAGTGAGTTCTGATGTTAATTGTCAGCCTGTACTGGCTTCTTTTTTTTAGTAGTTCCACGGTTATGCTTTGATGTGGGTTAACAGTCTGCAACTGTTAAATAAGAAAATTTTACTTTTTTATAAAATGGAAAAGCATAAAAGAAAATTCATATTTCAGTACATTCTACTTAATAAATATGCATAGTAACTGTAACTATGCTTATATTTGGATAAAAACCAAAAAATAAAAAGAATTGGTATATTAGAGTGAGAAGAAGGTAAAATTTTATTTTTTGTTTTAAAAATGTTTTTTCATAAAACATTTCTTTTGAAGTAGGTTCTTGAGAGTGCTTTCTTATGTGATATTTTGTACAGAATATTTTCTGCGAAATTGAAAGAGAATAGTGGCTGTAATGGTATATTTGAGTGACTGTGTCTTTTTAAAATGTGGAGACAATCAGAAGCAGCCTTGGGCTGAAAATACAAAATACCACAAAGATTTGATCATTTTGGATTTCCCTATTTCTTTGTGTCTCTGGGTACAAAGAAGAAATTGATATGAAATTGCCTGCTGTGGTATAATGGTTTTGTTGAGTGAGTTCTGATGTTAATTGTCAGCCTGTACTGGCTTCTTTTTTTTAGTAGTTCCACGGTTATGCTTTGATGTGGGTTAACAGCAGAGGGATGCTTAACTTTATTTTTAAAAGGATCTAAAATTGTCATCTGCCTCCAAAGTAAGTGATTAATCAGGAGAATATCTAAGGTTTTAAGAGACATCATAAGAGAAGTCATCTTGATTCACCAGAGTGATGAAATAAAATGACATTTCTGACAATGGTATTTCCATGCCAATCACCTGATACCTCTCTGTTACCTGTGTGAGAATGTTTGCTACTGAGGAAAATATGCATTTCTAAAACAGTTTTAGAGCCCATACAGCTTTGTGTGAATAGTATGTTTAGGACTTTTAGGATTTGTATCTAGAATTTCGGATTTATTGGAAAATATGATTTCTTCCTTTGTAACAGACTGATTTGTTTAAATTTATAGATATTTGAGACCAGAAACTGCACAGGGGATTTTCCTGAATTTCAAACGGCTTTTGGAATTCAACCAAGGAAAGTTGCCTTTTGCTGCTGCCCAGATTGGAAATTCTTTCAGAAATGAGATCTCCCCTCGATCTGGACTGATCCGAGTCAGGTACCACCCATGGTGTTCTGCTGGTGAAATTAGTGAGTGACTTTTGCATTGAAGTGGAAACAAAGGCTTGCTGATTTGAAACAGCTTTCCTCTTTCTTACATCCTTTTTTAACTGATTTATTTTTGGTTGCACTGGGTCTTCATTGCTGCTCATGGGCTTTCTCTAGTTGCGGCAAGCACGGGCTACTCTTTGTTGCGTGCACAGACTTCTCATTGGGGTGACTTCTCCTGTGGCAGAGCACCGGCTCTAAGGTGCATGCTCAGTAGTTGTAGTGCCCAAGCTTAGTTGTTCCCCGGCACTTGGAATCTTCCCGGACCAGGGATCACACCCGTGTCCCCTGCATTGGCAGGCAGATTCTTAACCACTGTATCACCAGGGAAGTCCTTTCTTACATGATTATATCTTTATTTTCATCCTCCAAAAAAGTTTATGTTTGTTACCTTCAGTTGTAATCTCTGGGATGAGGGGCGGTTTTGAGTGACTGTGTGGTTTGAAGGGAAAGGGTGAATAGCTGACATTTCACATCTGCTCCAAAATGATCTTTTCCCCTTGTTCATGTTCTGTTTTGAGGATGGTAAGATCTTGATTGTCGACGCAGGCATTTCCTGGAAGTGGTGGTGGAGATGAGAGTAGGGTGAGGTAGAAGGAGGTGAGGGTTACGGCAGGAGGGCCATCCTAGGTATCCAGGGCAGACAGTTGCTGGTGTTGGGGTGAGGGTGTTTCAGGAGCCAGTTGGTATTCCTCCACATATTTGGGGCACCTTTATGACAGAAAGTCCAGCTAGCAAGCTTGCTTCTGTCTACTCTAGTTCAGACAGTCTCTTATCTCTGTGCTAATAACTTCCCTTTGTCAGATGTATCCAGGAATGTGCAGAGGGCCTCTTGGCACTGCTGAGTTACGTTTTTCTCATTATGAGTTAGCTATTTATGACTTAGGTTTTTTTGCAATTTCTATACGTTTTCTTACTGATATCTTAAGGTAATAAATTTCATATAAAAATGGGCTATGTCAGTAAACTTCACTTTCTTAGACTTTGCACAGCTCCAGCAGCCCACCCATTTCCTTTGTTCTTTTCTTGTCATGCTGTGCTCACTCTCTCAGTCGTGTCCAACTCTTTTTGACCCCGTGGACTGTAGCCCGCCAGGCTCCTCTATCCGTGGGGATTCTCCAGGCAAGAATACTGGAGTGGGTTGCCATGTCCTCCTCTAAGCGATCTTCCTAAACCCAGGAGTTGAACTGGGATCTCCTGCATTGCAGGCGGATTCTTTACCAACGGAACTATGGTTCTTACTTGCTGTAAGCAAGCATCAGGCATAGCTTTATATCCTGCCTATAACTATCAGAGCATGCAAAGCCCCTGCCTGATCTTATGAGTCCTGGTGACACCCTCTGAGGAGATGCTCCTATGTTCTCACCGGACTTTATCTTCAGGCCTGTAGTCCCTTCAGCTGGATGGTCTAGAAAAGGGAGAGTTCATGAGGAAGGAGCTTAGAGAAGTGGAATGGAGAGGACCCGCTGAGCCTTGCTGCAAAATGAAAAGTAGTCCTAAACTTTAACTGGCTTTTGTGACATCGAAAAACTTGTCAGACTTGAATTTGTCTTATTTCTCAGTCTCTGGGTTTCTTCATGTCTTTTTTCCTTTTGCTTTTGGAAAACGAAGTGTCTGCAAGCTTGCGTTGAGAATATTGAGTAAGCTGCCTGAGACTGAGCTTGTCTAAAGCCAGTGTTTTGGAGAGGATTTACATCAAAGAGGGTAACCGTTGGATGATTATCAAGGACCATGAAGTAAGGCAAAACTTCGGGCTTGTGGAATAAAAAGTGATAAACAGGGAGAGCAGTTTAGAACAGAGAAACGGTCCCAGGAGTTAATGGGGCAAAGTCCATTGGGGCTTCCTGCCATTTTATTCCCTGGTCGTCTGGATTTTGGTTGATTTTGTCATGTGCCTCTGCAGGATCCTGGGTGGAAATCCATTCATCCTTCACAAGTCAGTATCTCCATGGTTTTTATTCCATGGTAGGGCTAGGACTTGTTTAATGTTACAGCGTCTTCTTGACCTAGAGTTGTCAGGTGGTAAGTCTTTGTATAGCTGTGATCCCTTTGGTTTAGGTGGGGAGCTGGCTCTGTCTTCTAGTCTGATGACTGTTTTGTCTCCACAGTTCCAGGTAGAGTCTCTGAACTCAAAGACAAGAGACAGCTGATAGAGTCAGTGCCAGTGTTGATTTCCATCTCCTGTCTGTGAGCTTGGATTAATTGACAGAACAGATAGAAAGACTTTGGCAGTTGATTATTCTGGGATTCTGGACAGGGTCCTTCTTTTGATCTGCCCTTCATTTTAGGTATTCTCTTGCTGTTGTCCTGGTTGGAAGCTTTGTGAGGACAGACATGAAGCTTCTCTGTCTCTCATTTCTGTGCTCACAGAAGGTGTTTGATAGCTTTTGAAAGGCCATTAAGATATAGGTGCTGCAGGACTAAATAAGAGATGACATTTAAAAGTAAAAAAAAAAAAGTTTTTTTTTGGTGTGTTTTTTGTGTTTTTCTGGGGCCTTTTTGCGCTTTTTTTTTTTTTTTCTAACATCTCTGATATTCTTGTGCGTGTGCTCTTGTATTTTGTGTGTGTGTTTTTAAGGAGGGGGGTTTTGTTTTTGCTTCTTAAATTTACTTTAAACCTTCCCCCCCCCCAATAGCTACTAAATTGCCATTCAGGGAAATCTTTTTGAGAAACCATTACTATGTGCATATTTATTTCATCATTATGCAGTTAACTTGATGTTAGCATGTTCAATTCATGCCTGATGTTCTCTGCCTTGAATAACACATCATTTAAGAAGCTGTTACTCTAAAGACACCAGCTGTATGGTGCCATTATCAGTCATTTACTTGTTCAGAGCAATAAAAAGGAAGAAATCAGACTATTTTAAAAGCTAAATTCACTTTTAATTTCCCATTCTTTGAAAAGTAAATATCAGGCACTTCATTTAGTGTGCATTAGTAAAGACTTGCCAGTGCTTTAAGGAAAAGCATTTTATTTGGAAGCCACTATTTCAGTATCTCATTTTTTTGTGTGTGTCTGACATTTGGTCAGATTTTCTTAATTTTATTTTTTAAAGATTGTTTTTTGATGTGGACCATTTTTAAAGCTTCTATTGAATTTGTTACATTGTTGTTTCTGTTTTATGTTCTGGATTTTTGGCCAGGAGGCATGTGGGATCTTGGCTCCCAGGGAGTGAACCCACATTCCTTCATTGAAAAGCAAAGTCTTAACCACTGGATCACCAGGGAAGTTCCTGGGTTTTCCTAATTTAAAAAAAAAAAGCTGTATCAATCTGTTCTTTAACAGCTATTTTCCGTATTATTCTGTGTTATTGTAAAAGGAAGTTTAAAATAAGGGCTTTGTTTATTTTTTTAAATGTGCCACTTTTATCCCTTATATTTTTGCTTTCAGAGAATTCACAATGGCAGAAATTGAGCACTTTGTAGATCCCAGTGAGAAAGAACATCCTCACGTGTCCCCTGCATTGGCAGGCAGATTCTTAACCACTGAGCTACCAGGGAGGTCCCCCATCAATCTGACTTTAACAATATGGACTGCAATATGGACTTTCTTTTATTTTGACTCACAGGAAGCAAGCCCTTTCTATTTTAAACTCTTCTGTATTACCCATAACAATTGGGATAAGGTCTTGCATGTAATAGAATTTCTCTATAGTTATTTGTCTAGAGAAATGAGTGAATAAAAACTTTGTAACAGTAGTAGCTGCCTAATAATGGAATGAATTGCCCTGAGAACAATGAGCTTCCTGTCTGAAAATATTCAGGTAGAGGCTGAGTGATAATTTGTCAGCCCTTTTGCAGAGAAGAGCCCTGCAGGTGGTAGGAGATGGGGCTAGATGATTTCTAAAACCCTTCTGTACTAAAGTTGTAAGGGGACTTATACTATATGGGGTTCACAAATTTCAGTGGATAAGAATACATTAATGTCCCCTTAGGATGTCTTACGATTTTTGTTAATTCAGAAGGAATATATGCCATTCCTTAGGGTCATTATTATGAATGTCATTTTTAGTACTGTAGATTTAGAAGGCTGAATTTTTGCTGACCCAGTGAGTATGGTGGAAAGATTTTGAATAACATCATTCATTATTATCTGCTTGTTAGCTTGACAGTTAAACTTTTGAAAATAGCCTTAATCACATTTTTGGGTATTTCAGATCATTCTGAAAGCTGTGTTGCTTTGTGTTTCAAAGATTTTTCAGTAAATGATAAATAACTCAATGGAAAATGGTACCTTGGCCTTCAATAGCCTTAATGTTTGTGGTTTTTTTCCATTCCTCTGTGCTTGTTTGCATGTTGTTTGCCTACTTATCTACCAGTTTGTTTATTCATTTGTTTTAGGGTGTGATTAACAACTCAGTGTTGGGCTATTTCATTGGCCGCATCTACCTCTACCTCGTGAAGGTTGGAGTCTCTCCAGAGAAGCTCCGCTTCCGACAGCACATGGAGAATGAGATGGCCCATTATGCCTGTGACTGTTGGGATGCTGAATCCAAAACATCCTATGTAAGTAGAATGCAGTGGCTCTAACCATGTGATTTTCACATTGTTAACTTAGAAGCATGGATATCAAAGTTGCCTTTTGTATCCTTCTTGTCAGAGTGGAACAAAAAGGAAAGAGATCTCTTCCTGAGCAAAATGGAAAAAGTAGTTGCCCCACTGTGCTCTCATAAGGGGGGCTACCCTTATGTCACAGTATCCCTTTGTAGATATGGATGGCTTTTACAGAGAGAGAATGCTGGTGACAGTGTGCTCCTGGCGTGTCCTTTGCTGGTGTGGGCAGTGTGATTGGTAACATGCCTGAACACAGCTAAGATGGGGTGGCCACCTTCCTGACAGGGACCCCAGCAGATACTGGAAGTGGTGGCCAGGCTGAGTAAAGAAGTCCATAGTGCTGTTCGTTTGGAGAGCTGTTTGGTAGATTTGGGGGATAGACTAGGAGATTCTGATTTCTTGTTTAGGAGCTACCTTTTCTCAAAGTCTGTATATTTAATAATAATTCAGAGAAGACCTCCAGGTTACCTCTTCACTGTTCCTTCCCACCCTCACCCCCCAGACATGAACATTAGTACTGAAGTTAAGGATTGAAAGGCATTTGGATATAGGAGATGCTTTAGCACTGGTAGCAGTGGGAACAGGGCAGCAGCCACAAGAAGCGGGCCCCAGAGTCTTCTGCATTTCCTTTATTTGATATTGGAGGGACTTCTCACCCATACAGAGACTTAACTCAGGGTCCTTGCTTCTCACATGCCCTTGGTTTCTCTTAAAAAGTAAAACTTTTAAAAGTGCCTTCCTTTGAAAAAATAGATTCTTTTTTTTCCCCCAATTATTTTTATTAGTTGGAGGCTAACTACTTTACAATATTGTAGTGGTTTTTGCCATACATTGACATGAATCAGCCATGGATTTACATGTGTTCCCCATCCTGAACCGCCCTCCCACCTCCCTCCAAGATTCTTTTTTTTTTTTTAATAAAAATTTTTTTAAGGGTACTGATGCATCTATTTGCAGGGCAGGACTAGAGCTGCAGACGTAGAGCACAGACATGAGGACACAGGGCAGGAGGGGGCAGGTGGAACAGAGAGTAGCATTAAGGCATCTGCGCCGCCACGTGTGAGACAGACAGCAGTGGGAGGCTGCCACAGCACAGGAGCCCCGCTGGGGGCTCTGCGGCGTCCTGGAGGGGGCGCGCGCGGTGGGAGGAGGCTACGAGGGAGGGGATACGTGTGTATATGTACTTACGGCTGATTCCCGTTGTTGCACAGCGGACACTCACACAGCATCGTAAAGGAGTTATCCTCCAGTTAAAAAAAAAAGAAAGTCGTTTAAAAAATGATGACCCTTTTTTGTAAAATGGAAAGTGAAAAATAATTCTTTAAGTGTGTTATATAAAAAGTGAAACTTCCAACTGTGTGCCCCCCAAGAGTGTTTCATGTCTGTTTTCTCAATCAGGGCTCAACAAACATTTTCTGTAGTAAACATAGTAAGTGTTTTAGGCTTTATGGATCTCTGTGGCTCTCTTCTGTTTTTTTTTTTTTTTTCTTTTTTTAACAACCCTTTAAAAATGTAAAAACTATTCTTAGTTCCATGAACCTTGATTTGTCAACCCCTATTCAAAATAGTTTTATATGCTTTAAAAACATATATACATGTGACAGATGGCCAATAAACACTTGAAAAGATGCTCAATATCGCTCATTATTAGAGAAATGCAAATCAAAACTACAAGGTATGGTAGAAACCAACACGAAATTATAAAGCAATTTCTCACCAATTAAAAAATAAAATGTTTAGAAAATACATGTGTGTACATGCATAATGATATATGCATATATCTGTAGTGACTATTATTGATATTGTTTTTAACATATACTCTTTCCTTTATTGAATTAGGAAAGAATCTGTTAGGTTTTTCTTGTTATGTTGCTTTCTTCACAAACTTACTTGACATATGTTTTCTTAAATGATAGTGGTAATTAGTTTTGGATTACAGGTGATCATTAGTTTCTTTACATGTACTAAGTTTTCTGGAATTTCTTTTTATTTTCAAGTTAAACCAATAAAGTGTTTTGTGTGAGAAGCTAAACCAGAACCAAATTCTTGCTGTTTTCAATTTAGATTCTGAATCCTGCCTGAATGGCATTTCATTTGTTTGTTCATTCAGTATTTGTAATTGTTAAGGGCTATATGCCATTCTAAGTGTATTAGCCTGTGGAATCCTCACAATAGTTCCATTCACTGGTTCTATTTCTTAGGAGACTGAAGTGCTGAGGAGTTAGTTGATTTGCCCAAGCCTCAGCAAGGGCGTGGTGGAGCGGGGATGTGGACCAGGGCTGTCTGACTCCAGGCCCCTGCCCTTAACCACGGTGCTACCCTGCTTTCATAAACCCTGCTGCACTCCTGCTCATCCTTTTCTCAGAGTCACTGTGAGCTGTGGCCAAACCCTCAAGGATGGGAAGTCAGAAAATGTGGGCCTGAGGAGTCCTGAGGGTGGAATGTACAGCATGGTGGCTATAGTTAATAGTACTGTATTGTGTATTGGAAAATTGCTTAGAAAGTAGATTGAAAAAGATCTCATCACACACACACACACACACACACACACACACGATTATAACTGTGTGGTGGCGGATATTACCTAGACTTATTGTGGTGATCATTTAGCAATATATACAAATATCAAATTGTTACATTGTATGCCCGAAACTAATATTGTATATGTCAATTATACCTAAATTTAAAAGAATTAAAGAAAAAATTAAGAAGAAAAAGTGGGCCTAGCTTTGAGATTAGGCCTCACATTTTGTGTAAGAAGAAGTCCAGTCCTAAGAAGACTGGACTAAACAAGACCAAAAGCTCTGAAGTAGTAAACTTCTAAGGAGAGGGGGAAACGCCTTTAGAGACTTGAATATTTTCTTTTTGTGTGCTTCATATTGTATTTTTTTTAAATAAAAAGAGTTACTGATACAGTTAATGCTCTAACCTTTTCTTCTCCCTCCTAAGGGGTCACCATGATCTCAAAATTATCTACCATTCTTAGGCATGTTTTTGTAGTTTCACCATTTAGTATCGTAAGTATCTTCGTCAACATCTTTAGTAAATGATAATGAGTAAGTGTATGTTTAAGAACATAGATATACTAGTTGGCATCTTTAGTGACTCAGATGATCAAGTTACATGTTTTTAGCTTTTTTTCCCCCCCTTAATTCCTGTTTTGTTGTTTTCATGTGCTGGCGTTTCTGAGCTTATATGAGTTTTATTTTTGCCTCTTTGTTTGAAACACCCCATGCATAACATGTGCTTGAAAAGCTTATTAGGTATGATGGTTGAATTTTCCCAAACTCTTTGGATCAAAGGCAAAAATAAGTATTTATGAGAAGGACTAACTAGACATCTGCTGAACTAATAAGCCTTTTACCTCTTTGGTTCTTACTCAAATAACAGGTTCTTAAGAGTCTTTGAAAACACTTTAGATTGTGCTTTTGAAAAGTGACTTGGGCATTAATAAGAAGTGGAACCTGCCACTGCTGTGATAGTAATGCTGTTATTAAGTTTTATTCTGTGATCTAAACAGTACCTGTTCTTTACTGAGTTTTCTTTTGTTGGGTAGGAAACTGGATTGAGCACAAATGCCCACATTTGTGGCCAGCTGAGATCTGTGTTTAGTACAGTCATCTGATGCCAAGTTTTGAGAGCAGTAGACACTTTGTACAAAGAGGATGCAGTCATCCCTCAGTGTCTGCTGGGGTTTTGTTCCAGTACCCCCACTGACACCAAAATCCTGAGATGCTCAAGTCTCTTACATAAAAAGGCTTAGTATCTAGGATTCCCCTTGTGGTCCAGTGGCTAAGACACTGCACTCCCAATGCAGGGGACCATAGTTTGATCCCTGCGCAGTGAACTAGATCCCACATGCTGCAACTAAAGAACCTGCATGTCACAGTGAAGATCAAAAGATCCCGCATGCTGCAACTAAGACCTGGTGTCGCAAAATAAATAAATATTTAACAAAAAAAAAAGGTTTAGTATCTATGTAGACCCTATGCACATCCTCCCATAGACTTTAAATTAGCTAGGTTACTTATGACACCAAACATAATGTAAATGCTTTGGAAATAGTTGCCAGGTTTGCAGCAAATTCAAGTTTCTGAAACTTTCTGAAAAATTTTTTCTAAATACTTCTGATTCACAATTGAATCTGCAGATGTAGAAACCACAGATACAGAGGACTGGCTATATTATTGGGTGTTAACACTTAAATACACCCTTCAGAATCTACTTACAGTTTTTCAATAACTTTTTAGAGGGAAAAGGCCAATAAAACAATGAAGTAACAACGTAGATAAAGTTCCTTTTTCCTCTTTGCCCATCTGTCCTCTCTGAGCTAAGTTTACATTTATATGATTTCTTCTTTGCCCTTTCCATATGGTAAGTACTTACACAGAGTTTACCCATTTAAATTAACAGATTAAAAAGAAGAGGAAACAGATGACATTTAATATATTTGTGTTCCAGTTTAATAATGCCTTTCTAATATACAAAAATCGAGTGTAACCTTGGTATCCCCATCATTGTTAGGCCAGCATGCTGACATTCCTCTTAGCTCTTAGGTTTTTCCTTGATCTCTGAGTCCTGATTTTGGCATATGTCCATTCTGTTTATCCTTCAAGGCTGATGTGATGCATTAGCACTCTGTTCATTTCCTCCTCTAGTGTAGTCTTTCTTTATTTTTCTTTTTCTTTTCTTTTTAATGATTCAGATAAATGTATACATGCTGTATTATTTTCCTTATAATTTCTCATAAATATCTTCCAGTGAAGAGTTATAAACTAGACTATATGTGCAGGGCATGCTGTGATATAACTTAACTCCCAATGGATTTCCCCACATGTAACATGTGTTACTTTCGTATCTTTGTCACTTACGTTCAGAATGACCATCACCACAGCATCCTAATAGCATGTTCTTGTTTCTGCTGCTCTTCTATTGTAATGCCATGATGTTGTTGTAGTGTCTCCTCCTCCCAGATTGCCAATCCCTTTGGTGAATCCCTGCCTACCCTCCTGCAGCTATTATTGACCTTATTTTTTGTCACCTGTGTTGGTCTCTGAACCCACAAGAGATTTTCAAGGGGCTAATTGGGTTACTCACCCTTGACTGTTGTTTTCCATGGTAAAGACTGGTGAAACTCTTCCTCCTCTTGACTGTCTTCCATGCTTTTAAAAGATTATGAAAGTTGTTTTCCTTCTCCACAAACTTTTTTTGAGGTGAGCACTGCGTTTAGATTTGTGGGTGCACATGTTCTGTGCTGACTCACAAAAGGGAGCTTGGTTGACCCCTGGGTCCTCCATGTGAGCGGCGATAGGAAGTATCTGGGAGTGTGCTGTTGTGTGTGTCCTGTGGAATTCGGCTGGTCGACTTCCGGCCAGGACTGTGATTTACTTGCTACTGTAGAGCTCTTCTGAACTAGCCATGCCCTTCTTTTTGGCAGTTCTTAAAAATGCACAGAGAGTAATGACTTTGTAGGTATAAATTCTATGATTTGAGCCAAAGTTTTAACAATACAGTTGTATGGGCAAGGGGGAACCATTACAGTTGTCCTTTGGAATCCATGGGGCATTGGTTCTAAGACCCCTTGTTGTTGTTGCTAGGTTGTTTGGTCTCCTAGTCCTGTCCCAACTCTTTGCAATCCCGTGGACTGCAGCACGCCAGGCCTCCTTGTCCCTCACTATCTCCCAGTTTGCCCAAGTTCATGTCCGTTGCATCGGTGATCCCTTGTAGCTGCCAAAATCCATCAATGCTAAAGTGTTTTATGGAACAGAGTGTTGTACTGGTGGTTTCCACCAAATTCATTTTGACTCCTGGTCAAAAATTTGATGGAGATATACAAGTTTTGTCTAAGTTCACATTTTATTTCCATAGCTAAATCCCAGCAAATACTAGTTTACCCCACATTCACAATGTGGCAAAATAATTCTGTCCAGAAAATAAAAAGACTACTTTGTGTACATGTGTGGATTATATTTTATAAGATTGCTACTGCTTGATGTATAAAACTATACCCATTTTAAACATTTGTAAAAGTTGAGTGGAAATTCTGTAATTGAATTATTCATGAGTATGTATAATCTGCATGCATTTGTGAATGAACCTTGTGTGAGTTACAGATGTTTATCATGTCTTCTTAGGGCTGGATCGAGATTGTTGGATGTGCTGACCGTTCCTGTTATGACCTGTCTTGTCATGCGAGGGCTACCAAAGTCCCACTCATAGCTGAGAAACCTCTGAAAGAGCCCATATCCTTTGTGGTCACTTCTGCAACTCAGGAGTAAACATCTTGAAAATGGATAAGTTCAAGACTGTACCTTGTTCTGTGGATAAACTGAGGTGTTTTGGCACTTTATTTAAACCTATCATTTTATGCATCTCACTGTTCCTTTCTTGTTCTCTTTACCTATAGTCTAACATGTGCCCACTGTGTTTGGTCCTTGAGAGAAAAATGCTCTGTATCTTTCAGGATGTTGACCAGCTTTTCTCAGCCGTTTCCAACACCTGCATCTGCATACATACACTTGAAATAAGCATAAAGAGGATCTTGGATACCAGTAGGAAACTGGTAGTTGTTTTAAGTTGGTGAAGGCTTGTCCTCAGGATCATTTCTTGAAGTCCTGGGGCAGTTCTGTAGCTTTGTATTCCTTGACCCCTTCATACAAAACCGTCAATGTTGTTCAGTTTGAACCCAATAAGGGAGCAATTGGTAAGGCGTATAAGAAGGATGCGAAGCTGGTGATGGAGTACCTTGCCATTTGTGATGAGTGTTACATTACAGAAATGGAGAAACTACTGAGTGAAAAAGGGTAAGTTTTAAGATGTGTCCTTTAACATGGGCTCCAGTCAGCTATGTTCTCTTTGCCATGTTTTGAGAGTTAGGGGGACATTAGTTTCTTTAGAAATTTTTGCAAGTGAGTACCACCTCTTGGCTACTTTTAAGGGATTGTTTGTTGAGATTTTGGCATTGTGACCTGGAAATAGACTTGAAGTGGACTACAAAGATCTTTTTTCCTCCTAATAACTTTCTTAAAGAAGGAGACTTATCCACGGTAATTAGAAACTACATCTATCTCTCAAGTAAATACCCTTTTTTTGAGTTTTGGAGTCCTGAGCATAATTGTTGTAAGTATAAATGAAAAACCATAGAGAAGCATCTTTAAAGGAATTCAACAAAATTCAGCACTAAACAATGTAAAATTTACTATGTCTGGCAAACAATAAAAAATCTCTAGCCATATGAAAAAGCATGAAAAGATCCAAAATAAGGAGAAAAATCAATCAAAAGAAATACTCAGAAGTGACAAGCATCATGGAAATAATACAGAAGGATGTTAAAACAGTATTCATGTGCTCAAGGTCACAAGAGAAAACATGAACATATGAGGTGGAAAATGGAAATTACATATTTTAAAAAACCAAATGGAACATCTAGATAGAGGTGATATCACAAATATAATTGTGTGTACATAGCCACAATACAGTAAAATGAAATCTTCTCAGGTTCTTACAGACAAAAGCCTATACCCGCCAGAAATGTCTTTTGAAAAATAATACTTGAGGAAAAAGAAGAGAAAATATTTTCAGACAGAAAACTTAAGAGGATATGTTGTCAGCCAGAGTTACACTACAAGAAATGTTAAAGGAGTTCTTCAGGCAGAAGTGTGGAAATTTAGGTCTACCCAAAGAAACTAAGAGCTCTAGAAATGATGGCTGTGTGGGTGATATGAGTGACATTTTCTTTCATTTATTTAAAATGACATCTCTGAATTTCTTTAAAAGATAATGGGTTGTTCAGAGAAAAATATTAAGTATATTGTGAAATTTGTAATGTGTATAAATAGCATTTGTGTTATCAGTAGCCCAAAGGATGGGAGCCAAGAATTGGGAATATGTAAGAATATGTATACTTTTGTAAGGTGCACATATTACATATGCTAAGTTTAATCAAAAAGGACATGTAGTCAACCTTAGAGTTATTGCCTGGGTAAGACACACAGAAACCAAAGGCGCTGTAATAGAAACAATAAGGGCGCTAAAACAGAATAATAAAAAATGCTCTAGAAAAAGATAGGAGAAGAAAAATGAACAAAGAACAGATGAGACAAATAGAAAACAACTCAGGAAATGGTAGATTTCAACTCAACAGTATTGATAGTTATTTTAAATATAATGATTCAAACACTCAAATTAATAGCCATGTCAGACTGGTTAAAAAATTCGAGTCCCAGTTAAATATTGTTTACAGGAAACCGATTGTAGTTTTAATACAGACATACTTCAGAGATACTGTGGGTTTGGTTCCAGATCACTGCAATAAATTTGTCACAATAAAGTGAGTGACACAAATATTTTTGGTTTCGCAGTGCATGTAAAAGTTACATTTACACTATAATGTACTCTTTTGTGCAATAGCATTATATTTTTAACAATAGTGAATGTACCTTAGTATAGAAATATTTCATTGCTGAAAAATGCTAACCACTATCTGAGCCTTCAGCAAGTGGAAATCTTTAGTAACATCAAAGTCTTTTACTGATTATAGATCACTATAACAAGCATAATAATAATGAAAAAGTTTGAAATATTGCAAATGTTACCACAATGTGACTCAGAGACATAAAGTGTTGGATGCTGTTGGAGAAGTAGTGCTGATAGACGTGCAAACACTGGGTGGCCACAAACCGTCAATTTGCCAAAAAGTGCAAAGCCTGTGCTTCTTGTGAAGCACAGAAAGCAAGGTATGCCTCTACTCAAGTAAGTTTAAAGGGAAAAGAAATATTTTAAAAATATTTCCTATACAAACATTGATCAAGAAGGTGGAATGGCTTATTAACATCAAAGGAAGCTTAAGAGCAAGCAAAATTATCAGGTTGCATTTCATAATGATAAAGGGATCAATTCATCAAGAACATACATCATTTCTAGCCATGTATGCCACTAAAAACCACCTCAAGATATGTAAAGCAAACTTGACAGAACTGAAAGGAAAATTAGACAAATTCACAGGTACAGTTAGAAATTTTTATACCCCTCTCAGTGATTGGTAGACAAAAAAGAATTGGTAGGAGTTTGAAGATATAAACACTATTAATCAAGCTACTTGTTGTTTGTAGAATACCTAATAACTGAAGAGTATATACTTTTAAGTACATTTGGAACATCTTTCATATTTTTTGTATCACTCCAGCAAAGAATGACTTGGCATTTTCAAAGAGTTGTTTTTAAAAAAAAATGCAGTATGGGAGTCAGCTTTTGGTCTGCAAACCCTGAATATTTTATAACTGAATATTTCATAATTAGCCCTATACAGAAAGTTTGCCAAACTTTGTCATAGACATTAGGCTAAGTGAAAGAAGTTTACACAAAAGATTGTATGCTAGACTCTAGGAAAGACAAACCTAGTTTAGAGTAGTAGAAAGCACATCAATGGTTGAGTGAGAATGGAGGGGATCAAAAGAGAAGGGACCCAGGGGAACTTTTGGGGCTGTGGTGGGTGCATGAGTATGTGTATTTGTCAGCTATCGCAAGATGAATGCTTATAAGTTGAAGATAAAATTATCTGTTTCAATAGGAAAATTTTAAAACATTTCTGGTCTCCTAGAATTAATGTCTGTTTACGCTAGAATAACGTCATATCCCATTAAAGTTAACATAGGTTACTGACAGATTTATGTACAAACAAGACAGCTTTTTAAAAATTATTCTCAAATAGTAACTATCTCCTTGCTAATTTCAGCTTTTTTATAACTGTTACATACCCCACACTTAGACTGTGCTTACCAAGAAAACGTATATGATACTGTCTATGTGGAGTCTTTAATACATGAATGCACAAACTCCAGACAGAATAGTAAAACTGGAAGAAATCAATGAAAATCATTCATATGATGCATGAGATTATCACTGCTAGAAACTAGCAGAATGCAGTGTAGCATGTACCAGCCATACAGCTCCAAGGACAACCACATGAGGGCTCTCTTTTCTGAGCACCAAGCTGCTCATGAGACCAGACACATCCAAATTGATCATAATGTGATGAAATACCTCATAAGCTAAAATACAGATATTACATGAAGTGCTTTATAAAGGTGAATTCTTATAACCTGAAATGGAATGGGCATATCTCAGGATATAATCATGCAGCAGTCAGTGATTTGAGGGGGATAGTATTTTATATAGACATATCAAGCAGAATCTTTAAACTTCTTTTAAGCTCATCTTCATCAGCATAAGTATAAAAATTTAGTTTGGAAAAAGTGTGGGAGTTTTAAAAATTCTTTCTGTAAGATGGCATTTTTACATTTGTCGGGACAGTAATGAGAACAGTGGTCTTTTTGCCAGCAGACATGTTTCTGACAAATTTATTGTAATTATTCTATAACTGAGTTTTTAAAAAAATTTTCTTTGGTTTTACCTTGATCTCAAAATCAAGGAGTTGGTCACTCAGTCACTTGTGGAATTTTATAAGATTAGCTACATATTTGGGTGCCTCCCAAAATACTGTTTGGTGCTGTTATATTTGGTACTCCTTATGAAAAATATAAATTTGACTTCAGTTGTTATATCTGGATTGTTGACCAATTTGTATTACACTTAAAATGAGAAGAGGTTTGGTAATCTGTAAAACTCCTTTAAATTAAGGCATGGGCATATGTGTTTTCACTAATATGTGCTTTGTTTCATTGTAGGGAATTTACTGTTGAAACTGAAGGGAAAACATTTCAATTGACAAAAGATATGGTCAATGTGAAGAGATTCCAGAAAACACTACATGGTAAATTCATAAAAATAATTAAGGAACAAGCAGACAAAAATCATTACTGTTTAATGGCATTTTTTAAAAAAGTTTCATAGCATAACTATTTTATGGAAAATTTGAAGAAGAAAATGAATCCTTAATGTTATAGCCCTAAATTTGATGAATATGTTCAAGGCATTATCTTGTTGTTTTTTTTTTTTTTAAAAAACATAATTGTACTCACATTGAAAAATAACTTATAATGCCATCTTTATATTTTCTGTGACCAAGACACATATGAAGATTATCTCTTTGATTAAAAGCATCTTTTTTTTTTCCTCACTCTAAGGAAAAATTCTTTTATTTTTTAAGCAAAAGAACGAACTTATCCACACTGTCTTTTCTGGCAGATTAACTTATTAAAAGTCATTTAGGTTAGTGGTTGTTCATGCTTTTTAAAAGCCAAGGATATGATTATTTTTTTGTAGGACAAATTCTGTGAGTTGATCAATGAGTATTTTGGAGAAGGTATGAAGGATTCTTGGTTGAATTGACGCCCCTGGAAACTGAGAGTAGTGGGTATTTGAGACACTACTGCCCGTCGAACGAGCTGGCTTCCTTTTCCATTTGTTTTTGGCTTGCCTCATTGTTGCTAGGCTGCAGGGAGCTGTAAAAACAGTCGGAGCCATGATAGGAGGGAGCAAGGGAACCCTTCTTCATGCTCTGAGGTTTTTTAGCTACATCCTGGCAGCTGGCTTAGAGCTGTCCTTCACCATTACTCAGATGCTACCAAAGGATGGGCAGAAAATGCCTTGGCCATTTCTCAAATGTTAACTCTCATGTGTGAGTTTTTGGTTCCAGTTACCTCATTTCTCTTGAAACAAGCTCTCAAGGTTAGGGTCAGTTTAGTTAGATGTGGATAGTGCTTAGCCATGGTTCCTTTCTGAATAATGAGTAATAATGAAGACAATTCCTATGTATACCACAAGTATAGTTTCACCCATGGGAAGAGCTGTGGGGTCCCTGGTCTTTGACTGACTGCTGTTACCTGAGCAGACTCTTCTCTAAGGGACTCCTGACCCCAGAACCTTGGAAATACAATAGCAGTAACCTGACTCTCTTAAGGAGTTCTCATCCAGATAGTAAGATAAAAAGGAAAGCACAAATCACATGATACTTGTATGTAGGAGTTGTTTTTATTAAATTTGCCAACTGTGGTGGTGGATTTTTAATTCTAGCAAAGTCTTACAGAAGCTCTAGAGTTTCAATGCTTTCTGCATGAGTGAGGCAGAAGGCATTGCTCATAGCTTACCAACTTGGTGAAGGAATACACCAGTATCTTGTTTTATTTTTTATGCTATATAAACAATTAAATTTGGCAAAAAAAAAAAAAAGTTTTCATCTCCAGTTTTCTCTTTAAAGGCATCATGTTTTCTACCAGGAAATAGTTTTTAGGAATATTCCAATTTTTTTGTCCTGCTGTACAGGGTCAATCACAATCCATCTAGAATAGAGATATTTTTAGGGCCAATTAGAATTGTTTAGAGAGGACCCGAAGTGCATCATGTGGGGTTTAAGAGAGTCTTACTGAATTTCTGTTTCTCTTGCAGTGGAAGAAGTTATTCCGAGTGTAATTGAACCCTCTTTTGGCCTGGGCAGGATCATGTATACGGTATTTGAACATACATTCCAAGTTCGCGAGGGAGATGAACAGAGAACGGTGAGTTGTCACGTACAGTGTACTGTTTGTTGTCTTACAATGTCAGAGAATGACATTTACTGAGTGATATTAAGACAACTCTGAAACAATCAGTTATTATTGACTGGAATATTAACACCTTTGCTTAACTGTTTACAAAGCAAAGCACTTCCTTATCTCATTTGTGCGTTAGAATGTATAGGTTATTCCAGATGCCATTGTTTTAGTTGCATCTGAGTTCTGAGACAACATATTACTTTGAGAGAGCTGTCTGTATTGCATCAGTGGGAGGAGTGCTCCTTTCTGGATATACTTGTTTTTAGAAAATTGGGAAGGAGGAGATGATTTATAGAATTTGGACAAACTTAAAAACTGTATTTATACTTTGGTAAAGCATTTAAAAGGAACCTTTTCAAACTGCATGAAATTGTCTGAGGTATTTTGAGGGTAAAGATGTAAATTCTTAGGTTTTAGTCCAGAGATACAGATTCACTAGGTCTGAGACCCCAGGATCTAGTTTTGTGTGTGTGTGTTTATAAGAAACCCAGATGATTTCATTGTGGGATATTGACAGATCATAAATTGAGCAGAAGTATGTGACGTGTAGGCTTTCCCAGCATTTAAACCTAGCTAACGCTGCATGTTTTTAAGAAGTCTTCATCCCTCAAGTTTTCTTTTGGCTCCAGTGCTTTTGAATTACTGCTCCATGTCTTCCACATAGCTTTTCATTATGGCTTATTTCACCTTTCTCAACCTCATGTCTGGTTGTGGAAATTATACTCCTTTGATATATAACTACAGGTTTCCAGGAAGATCACTCAGAAGAAGAATGCTAGAGAGGAAAGGTTGTACAGGTCAAACTAACTGAAAGAAGCATTCTTACCTGTGTGACCAGCTAAAGTTGAGTGTGTACACAATGCCGGACATCAGCTCTGTAGTTTTTCCTAGGGCGTTTAGCCTTCAAGATGAACTGATTGGTTCTTGGTTGGATGGCATCACCAACTTGATGGACATGACTTTGAGCAAGCTCCGGGTGTTGGTGATGGACAGGGAAGCCTGGCACGCTGCAGTCCATGGGGTTGCAAAGAGTCAGACACAACTGAGTAACTGAACTGAACTGAAGAGTTCTTGGCACCAGTATTTTTAAAAGTTTGACATAACTGTTGATAATGTACAGCTAATAAAGCTACTCTTTTATTCTCTGCCCTAAAGTTACATCTTCATTTCCTGACATTTAAGGAGTGGCTTTTCATTCATTAACAGATAGCAGGAACCTGAGCCTGGACCCCAGAGATGTAGACATAAGGAATGGTTCTTCCTGAGGAATGACACCATACTTTACTGAATGTGCCCTTTTTTAAAGGCCAAGTTTGCTTCAAACTTTTCCTGCTTATTTTTCTAATGAAAAGGTTTTTTAAAAAAGCTTTCAGCTATTCCTTTGGCTCTATAATAGAGATTAAACTAAAGTTGTAATAGAAATTTCGTAAAGGCTAGGCAATAATAAGTTACAGTGTTTTATGAATTACATAGAGATTTCATCATGAAGAGGAATTTTATTAGGCTGTAAGAAGCCAAAAATGTTTCTAAATTATTAGCACATAGTCCCTCGACCCATTTTCCTATAAATTTGGTATAAAAGCATTGCTGGTTAGATAACAAAAAAAAACCCATTTTTCTATAAAGCCAGTTCCCCACTTCTATCTCACATTAAATGGAATTATCACAGGAGGAGGAGAGGAGTGGAATTATGAGTGTTCCTAGAGGAACAGTGGTAGAGTAGCAGAAGCAGTTCCAGAGAGGTGGAGTTCACTGAGCTGTTCCAGATTCTGAGCTGAAAGCCAAATCTTTCTGATTCTACTTCTGGTTATCCTGCTGTCTGTTTTATCGCGATGCTTTTTCACATCCTCTTTTCCGGTATTGCGATAGTGAAATTTGGACGTTAATGTTTAGATCTTTATACACTAATGCATTTGGATGTCTTTTTAAATCATCTAGTTCTTCAGTTTCCCTGCCGTAGTAGCTCCATTCAAATGTTCCGTCCTTCCATTGAGCCAGAACCAGGAGTTCATGCCATTCGTCAAGGAATTATGTAAGTAAATCCAGTTGGTTAATCTCCATGGGAATACTATCAGGCAGACTGAATTTTAGGAAGTGTCTCTTAAAAAAAAAAAAAAGTATTGAATAAAGAGTATGCTTGCTTGGGGTGTTTTCTCCTAGCATTTAAATGAGTTGGGGTAGGACCCAAGAGTCGGATTGCATATTGCTTCTCCTGCTGACCCAGCCGGTCACATCATCAGGGGATACCCAGTGGAGGGTGACTACTTTGTGAATCTGCAGCCGCTGGACTCACAGCACTGGAAGGGATCTCTGTGGCCATCTGGTGGGGCCCACACATTTCAGAGCTGGAAGATGGGAGGCATCCACTGAGCTGCTCGGGGCCATGCTGGTCTCCTCACCTTGGCTGCTTGTGCCCCTGCAGCCGAATGAGAAACCCGGATGAGTGAGGGTTTGGGCTCCAGCAAGGACTTAAACTTTGGGAATTTTTCTGTCTCTTGCAGCTGCAGCTTCTTGCTCTTTTGTGTTAGCTCCTGTTATAAGTTTCCTGAGCTCATATGACTTTTTTAATTTACTGAATTTATTTTGGGTAGCGGAGGCCTTGACCAGGCACGGCATCTCTCACAAAGTGGACGATTCCTCGGGATCCATTGGGAGACGCTATGCCAGGACTGATGAGATTGGGGTGGCTTTCGGCATAACCATTGACTTCGATACAGTGAACAAAACCCCTCACACAGCCACTTTGCGGGACCGAGACTCCATGCGGCAGATCAGAGCAGAGGTGACTGCCTTCGCTTTGGCATTTGTAGTCTTAAAAATGTGTACTGGGTTCTTTCCGAGCTGAGATCGATTTTGTTGTGTTTATGCATCCCTTCTTGTTTTTGTCTTTTTCATTTTAATCATTAAGTTTGTATCAGACAGAGCACAGATTTCCCGAATCCCCTAGGCTTAATTATGAAAATATTCATTAACACTTCTCTAATATTTTACAGCCATTTGTATCACTCTGGGCTCATTCTCTGACAGTTTGCATTTATGATTGTTTATTTGAGCAAGAGAAATATGATCGCAAGTGGTTGTTGCCATAGTTTTATTGGCAGGCTTTGCGGGGCTTAGACAGTTTTATTTTTATATTTCCGTATAAGTATACACACGAGTATGTATAAACTTCTTCATGCTAATCAATTCAAAACAGTGAATAATATGTCAGTAATTTTACTTGATGGGAAGGGAACCATGGAGATGGGAAAAGTACAGGAGGGAAAGGAAAGAGTGATCTCTTTGACAGCTGCCTGATCAGTTTATGTTGAGCAGGTTTGGATTTAGAGTGCCTTTCATTTGCTCTGCTTGTTACTGAGAGTTTGTAATATGGAAAACAGAAGTGAAAGACTGCTTTTTCCCAAGGGAATTTTCAGTCTACTATAGAGGTCACAGATTTCTGGCTCTTCTTTTTACAGTACCAGATCTGGCTACTCTGAACCTATATTCCTGTCAGGCAGGGGTTCTCAGAGTGTGGTCCCTGGACCAGCAGCATCTGCATCACCTGGGAACTTGTTAGGGAAGAGAAATCTCCACCCCAGACCTGCTAAGTCAGAAACTGGGATGGAGCTGGGGTTTGGAGGGAGAGAGAGGGCGGGCAGAACTGTTGTAACAAGCCCGCGAGGGACTTGCCTGGCAGCCCAGTGGTGAAGACCCTGTGCTTCCAATGCAGGGGTGCAGGCTTGATCCCTGGTCAGAAAGCTCAGATCCCACATGCCTCACGGCCAAAACACCAAAAACAGAAAACAGCAATAACATTATAACAGATTCAATAAAAACATTAAAAATGGTCCACATAAAAAAAAAATCTTTAAAAAAGGAAGCAAGCCTCCCAGATGATCCCTATGGTTGGTCACTCAGGTTTGAGAACCCCTGCTGTGTGGTGGCCACCGTTGGTTCTGGCTGATGATCAGCTGGCCCCTTCCTTAGGGGCTCTCCAGTTTCCTGTCTCCCTTCACTCCTGTTACTATCTGACCATGGTTCTAAGAGTTGAATTTAATACATATGAAGTAACTTCAGGTAGCCTGGAGGTTTGGAATGACTAGGAAAGGCTCTGTGGGGAATTGGGGTACCCAGGGGAGCTGACAGGGCTTCTGGGGTGGAGGAAGAGCAGGTCCCCAGCCTGGGAGGGAGGTAAGCATAACTAGGTAAAGAGGCTTCAGTGGGAGTCACTTAGAAACACACCGCAGGGACCAGTTTTTGGAGGGATCCTGTCACTGTGTAGACACGGACTCGACTATGCTGTTTCCTGAGTGCAGGGTGAATCCTTTTTTTTGACAGCCTAATCCAGTTGGTTGATTCTGGGACTTCTCTTTTCTTTTACCCCAGGTCTCTGAACTGCCCAGTGTTGTCCGCGATCTGGCCAATGGCAGCATCATGTGGGCGGATGTGGAGGCCAGATATCCTGTCTTCGAAGGTCAAGAAACTGGAAAAAAAGAAGCAATCGAAGAATGAGAGCAGTTTTGGCAACTTTTGACCATTTGTTCTAATAAAAGAATAACTCTTATCATGTCCACTTTGTAAAAAAAAAAAGCAGCATCTCAGTTCCTCCCCAGGACTACATTTTATCCTCAGTGGCTGCCTGATCTTACTCCCACGATTAAAGTTGAAGGAATTCTGAACAGATTTGTAACCTACATGCTCTTGTTTCTGCTACTTTTCCTACCTTGGGGAGACACCCATGACTTAACGTGAAACAGTGAATACACCTTACACTTGACTTTATTCATAAGACCGTAAAATTTACTTAAACAAACTGATGACGTTTAGTGTATTTACAGAGTTGTGCAACTGCCATACCACCATCCAGTTTTAGAACATTTCCATCCTCCTGAAAGAAATCTCTTGGGGCGTTCCAGCCCCAGGCAGCCACTTACCTGTTTTCTGTCTCTGTGGATTTGCCTTTTCTGCTCTCTTTTTCTGAGGCGATGCATTGTGCTGAAGAGGCAGCAGTCTCTTGAGTACGGGGACTGGCTTCTGGGAGGTGTGGAGGTGTGGAGGAGGCTGCAGAAGCAGTGGGGAAGGAAGAGACTTGCTGGGGTGGGGGTCAGGGCTGCTAACCCCAATACCCTGATGACGCTGTGCTCTTCAGAGTGTCCAGGTGGGGTGCGTTGACAGAAACCATCTATTTAAACTCTAAGGCGGGCTTGTACTTGGCTTCCCAGGTAGCTCTGGAAATTGCTGAACTCCTGATGCTAGAGGAACCCCACCTGCCGTGTCTTGACTTAGCACTTCTCAACCGTCGCAGTGTCTTGATTTTAGCCTAGTAGTTTTTGGCTCAGCTTTTGAGGGGCTTCACCTCTATGATGTTTTTTGTATAGAGTCAGAACACATTTGTTCATTTGTTAGGAAACAATTCAAGTATGTGAGCTTGACCAGCTCTTTATTTGCTGCGTTAAGACTGTCTAGCCTCCCATCATCCTCTCAGACAGTAGAAGGGAGGGGATGTGCCATATCCAGAATGTTTTCCTTGTCTGGAGAATGAAGAGCAATTGAAGAATTCCACTGGGATTCTCTCATCTTTATCTCTTCTCCAATGGTGCCTACCACAGTGCTGCACACAGTAGGTAGTCAGTAAATAGACTTTGCATGAGTCTTGATTTTGAACAAACCCCTGGGGAAGAAATCATTTCACTGATGCTTATGTCTCTTCTAACCTATTCTTTTTAAAGTATTCATTATTAAATGAGAAGCAACTAGCTTTTAAATAAACTGAGTTTTTATTTTCTAAGGATTTTTTTCACCCCTTATAGCTCTTAACTTGGTGTGTATTTTAGCATTCTCACATTGGGGCTGGGACAGAGGTGTAGGGGGGCAGTTGTCTTTACTAAACATTTATTTAACTTTTCACAGTGAGCACCTCCCTAGTCAATCACCACAACCTCAGGCATTAAGAACTCCTTAATAGGAAAAATAAACATGTAGATTTATCTACTTTGGATCATAAAAGGATTGGAACCAAAGCTCTCTTCACTTTTCATTGGCAAACACATTTGTCATGACTTAGATGGTGGATGTGAATTCTACAAGCCCTGCTTTCTCTGGTCTTTCTTCTAGGTGCAATGCACAATTTCTCCCCATAGAGCCCCTACTGCCTGTAAAGTGATTGATTACCTGTGTGGGGAAGCTGGGTCAATAGCTGATGGTTCTATCTGTCATATGCTTGCTTTTAAGCAGGCAGGGGAAGAGCTGTTTTCTAAAGAGGCTCTACACACCAAAGACTTGTGTGTGTATAACTCCTCTCTTCTGTTCAAGTCCAATGTGTAAGCCAGGGACTTTCTGACTTGATGTGCTATGCAGTCCATTATTAATGCATTTGTATCAAACTGTGAGCTATCTCGGGAGCTGGCTAAGTAGCACTGTCCCAGAAGTCACACCTGTTCTCCATTCTTCTCAAAAATAGGAAGAAGGGTGACAATCTAACTGATTTCCATGGAATGTACATTAAGAAAACAGTAGTTTCTTAAAAACTTAGGTTGAATTCAGGATGTTCAGACAAATACGAGTTATGTCTAGAAATGTGGTTGGTGCCTGAGTTCTGCAGGAGTCCAGAACCTATACTGCTTAATGGCACATAATAGTAAAATACTGAATATAGAGTGCTCCAGAATTCATTGTGAAGTCATATAATTAAATGATCCTACTAGTCAGGTGAGATGGTACTAGACATGTTAGATGTTCAAAGGTCTTTGTGATAACAATTTGAAAAATTATTTTGTCAAATCCCTTGATAGATTCATTCTAGATCCTTATTTATTAATCCCTTAACCAATATAAACTTGGGCTAATGATAGTGACTGTCTTGCCCAGTGGAGTCTATTCACAAGAGAACCAAATAAACCAAAAATAAATCCAAATTATCTCTGGATGCAGCTGCACTTAAATTAACCTCCTATCACTAGGGATAACTATTAATCTGCATCTCTTGGGTGGGGCTAAGATGAAGAGGTTCAGATAGCATCAATCACGTTACAGAGCCTTGCACTAGCATCTTTGCTGACAGTCCGACTATGTGTAAGGCAGGTTTTGTTTGCTCGGCATTTGTTCACCCCAAAGAAGTTTAGTTGAAGATTCAGCATGTGAATGGATGAATAAGTTTGTTGTGCCTCAAAATTTGCCTGTCTCTTCAATAAATCTTGGTTATTGGGCTGCGTCTAGGCAGTAATTGTGTTAGGATCATGTGGAAAGGATTAATGGCTCTTCTGGAAATTGGGTTATTATTTGGTAGCGTCACCAGGAAATGCCTGAGAGCTGTAGCCTATGGCCCTGCCCTCTTGCCAGGAGATTTTCTGGTGCTGGTGACTTCTGTTCTCCCAGTTGCGATGGTATACCTTTCTCTCATGATTAAGGATACATCTTTTTAAACCTTTTGCAGCAGTGAAAGACTTAGGACAGTAGTTCTCAACCCTGCCTGCACACTGGAATCACTGGAACTTTGAAAAATGCTCATGTATATGCACCATTCAAACCAATTTACTGAGTTTTGAAGTTCAGACAGCAAAATTTCAAAAGCCCCTTAGGAAAACCTCTGCTAAAACAGATACTTCAGCTCAAGCCATAAAAAAGGCTGAGCCCTGCCCCCTCCCGCCCCACTCCAGAGTGGGGAAGCATCTTCTGAACAAAATTTTTACTGACAACAGGTTAAAAGTTGTCATTAAACATACCAAAGTTTCCAGAAAAGATGAATTTAGCAGGCATTGTTTTATGTTCTTCTGAACAAAATTTTTACTGACCACAGGTTAAAAGTTGTCATTAAAAATACCAAAGTTTCCAGAAAAGATGAATTTAGCAGGAATTGTTTTATGTTGCTCCGGTGAGATGTCAGTAAACGTGCTGTCATGAACCCTCCACGGCTCATATCCAGCTTCCCTTGTCCAGTGTTGCAGGTTCAGGCCTCTCCTCTGCCCGATATCCCTTCAGGACTTCAGTGGTTGGAGCTCACTGTTTTCAGGGAGAATGGTACGTTTGCTGTGTGCCTATCACGTGCCAGGCTCTATTCTAAGAGAGGTCCTTTGTGTTCTCTCTTTTCACCCTTACAGTAATTTAAATATTACTGTCCTTTAAAAAAGAAGAAAGAGTGAAAGTGTTAGATGCTCATTCATGTCTGACCCTTTGGAACCCCATGAACGGTAGACCACCAGGGTCCTTAGTCCATGGGATTCTCCAAGCAAGAATACAGGAGTGGGTTCCCATTTCCTTCTCCAGGGGATCTTCCCGACCCAGGGATCGAACCCAGGTCTCCTGTATTGCAGGTGGATTCTTTAGCATCTGAGCACTCAGTTACTTATTAATACAGTTCTGAACAGTCTGTTGCTGTTGGGAGATGCTTACTTGTATATAACCCTGGCCCTACAGCTCAGGACCTTTCCTTCTTGTCCCACACTTTGGAGTTTGTGAATGCAGATTCTTAGCCAGGTTAGGAAGTCTAGCCTTCTCAGCCATGACTTAACTTCACGAGAAGCTGTGCCTGTAGCTATCTCTTTGAGGAGGGTGTTGCCAGCACTAGAGATGACGATGAGGGAAGGAAGAGGCAGGAAAACTCACGGGCTCAGTGGTAGACTACAGCATTGATATTTTCTGTCTCCACAAACCCATTTCTGTCCTCAACCATCAGTTTTGCTTAATACTCTATCAAGCTCAAATTTTCCTCTACTCCGCCTCCGCCCATCTCTTTCTCTTTCTCTCCCCCTTGCTCATCTTTCTTCTTTAATCTCTTGTCCACTGGTCAACATTTGCCCATTTTGGGTATTTACCACAAAACACAATTCTTACTTAGCATCAGGAGATTCACAGCTCTCCTGTGTACCTCAATATGTAGATTTACCAAAACCATTTGGACATCATCTGCACAGCCATTTAAGACTCTTTGCCCAGGTTAGGACGTGTGTCAGATCTGGGCCATCGGTCCAGCAGCTAGAGCACAAAGTAGGCATAGCTGTCTGCTGTCCGGGGCTGTTGAGGAGGGCTGAGAGAGTTATTATGCAGGAAACATGAGAGGCTCTAGCTTAAAGAGCGGAGAGCTGTCACCTGAATCACTCAGTCCTTTTTCTGCTCTCCTTGAGAATTCATTTCCTTTTCTGAAACCTGATTTAACAGAATGATTTCAGATTTTAGTAAGTCGGTCCATAAACGACTAAGTAAAACTTTCTCCTTTACTCCTCGGGGTCACCAGCAGAGGTGGCTGAGTGGGAGGCATCTGTCCTTGGCCTGACTTCTCTGTGCTGGTTGATACTTGGGTTCAGAATCTGTGACCATTCTCGTTTTCCTGCTCAATGTCATTTCCTGCTGGTGAGATATTATCACAGTAAAGCATTGACTCTGGAGGCAGACTTGTCCACAAGTAAACGGACTCAGACACGCAGGCAGTGTTGTGGTGGGCAATGTGTCTAACCTAGAGCTGACAGTCCTTTACTACTAAAGAAGCTATGTCCTCATTTGGAAAGAAATAAGAAGAAAAAAATCGTCCATCAGCAGAACTTTAGGCAGAAGAACCTGTCTTGGGCCTAGGGGGTTGGGGGTAGGGTATGGTGTGGCTCTTGTGTTAAATGAAAAAAGGTTGATTTCTTATTTTCAAAATCTGAATCCACTCCAACTTGGCTAGAGAGAAGACTGCAGAACTACTGCTG